ACGCCCATGAGGCTCGTTAATCTAGGATTGCACCAGCACCAGTCCCGGCCCCAGCCCCAGCCCCAGCTCCAGCTCCAGCGGATTCTTCTGTGCTGGCGTTCCGTTCCTCTGCAAATCGATAGCCAGTTTGCATATTTAATTTATTGATTTCACGCGGCCATTGCAGAAATCACCATGCCACTCGGGCTCCACTGATGTTGCCTCTCCGCACCTCCCCCCCCCACCAACCGCCCGCTCTTTGTGGCGCCGTTTGCAGCATTAACCAGAGTTCAGCAATAATTACTTTTTGTAATTAGTTGCAAGTCCAATGAGAGCCCCAAGCCGGGGCTCGCGAGTGCCGGCTGCCGGTTGTCCGTTGCCCGGTTGCCGCGTTGCCGTGGCGGCTGGACGAGGGGCATAAAGATTGATAACGAGCTAATGAATGTAAATTTCATACGTGGCCTGTCAGTCAGTTAGTACGTCCGTCATGACGTCAGTCCGTCAGCGGGGCAAGTCAGGAGCACGATGGGAGGGGGTGTAGCCAGGGGCAGGGGGCGGCGGTGTGTGGCTTTGCCTCGTCATTTATGAGTTTGCGAAAAAACCCTTCTCGGGAGCCCTGCAACTTAAATTAAGTTTCGCGCTAAGCTCGGCTTCCGTTTCGCTGCGAGTCGTGCTTGGTGGTCGCCAAAGGTCTCCGCAGGTACAGTGGACAGTCCTTAAGAGGGAAATAGGAATTCAAATGCATGGGAAATTAGGCGAAGTATTTTTTATGATTTATGGAACATTGTTGTGCGTTTTTCTTCGAAAATAGATACCTGATAGACAGATAATAAGCAGAAGGAAAATCATAGATTAAATCATAGATTCATGGACAAGTGGAAGGCAAGTTGAATAAATTTTAAAATTAAAATTGCAGAATTAATTTCTGCTACAACAGACAACAGGGGTAGATGATGGAACCAGAGCAACAGACAAGATTTTCCATTGTACGTCTATGAGCGGATGATTGATATGCGAAAATAATTATGCATTCGAGCTTTTATCTCGAACAAACAGTTTAAGTTCCTACATATGTATATGTATACATATGTATATGTATACATATGTATATGTCATACATAGCATATTACTGATCAATTTTATCCCAAATTCAATCAAAACTAACTAAAAATAATAAAATTAATAAAATCTCTTCAGAATATTTATATCTCTAAGAATTTGCTCCCTAATTTGTTCCCTAAAAATACTTTAGCGTACCCCCGAAAAGATCTGCTTATGACTTGATCTCATTGCAGAACTTTCCATCCCCTGTCAATCCGCACTGTAGCCACTTAAGCAGGCAGCTAGGGAGGTGGAGCCAGGCAATGCAATTATGCAGCAGGGGCTGCTACTTGCCAGCAACATATATTGGTAATTAAGTAGATGGCCTGAGGTTCGAGGGCACCTCTGCCACAAAGCCCCAAAAGAAGGAGGAAGAGGAGGAGGAGTGGACAGCAGAGAGATCATTCCCCGTGCCCGTTCCTTGTTCCGCTTTTCCCGTTCATCTCTGTGGTGGGGTGGGGCGGTCAGGTGACGTTGACAAATGGGTTCATCAACAGCCCGAGTGGCTCCCTCTTTCGGGTGGTTGTATGGGGTGGGGTGGGGGGCTACTAAGACAACGGCGGGAACGTTCGGATGGGAATTAAATTTTTGTAAAGTGAAAAGCGATTTATTTTTCGCCATTTGTGGCTTGGTGGCTGGCTGCTCGGTCGTTTAATAAACAATTTAATAGCGCGCATAAATTTTTCCAGCCATCATACTTATAATAAACCCATTTGTCTTCGGAACGGGCCAGCGCTCATATGGCCCATGCCCCAAACCGTATGCAGCATGCCTCATGCCGCATGCCGCATACCGCATCCCGCTTGCCACAAGCTGAGGTGGGTTATTAAATTATGTGTTTCAAGCGTAAAAATAAACCGTAGCAAATGGGAATATAGGACGCGACGCGACGCACTCTTCCCTCTCTCTTTCTCTCTCTCTCACACTCCCTTAACGAGCCCTAATGAGAGAAAGAGATTCTTGCTCCCTCCCTCTCTCTGACTCTCTTGCTGTGGTACTTTCTCCGCGCGTTGCGTCGGCTCCAATTAATCAGATATATTCGAATAAATCAAGTGCCATAAAAGTGACACAGCGTGAGAGATGCACAAAGAGCGAGAGAGAGAGGGGGAGAGTGAGAGGGAGGGGGGTAGCTAGAGATGAATATTTAATTAAGGCACAAATTAAAAATGCAAATAAAGTGGAACTACCATGGCGAGCGAGCTGGCGAGCTGGGAGCTGGCGAGCGACTCCTTTTATTATTAATCGATGGCCTCTCATAATTAGTTGGCCCTAACAAAGGCAACCCCGTGGTGCCACCGAATGGCTCTTCCATTGGTGGGGTTTTTCTTTGCTATTAGCTAATTGGGGATCGCGAGGCATGCGGTGGGGAGGGGGGTCTGGCTTTGATTGCCAGACGACGCGTGCTGGAAGGGAGGGAGGGAGGAGGGAGAGGCACATCCAGCCGAACCTTATCTGAGCCCACGTCTTACACGCATCAGTCGAGTATCAGGCAGAATCTACCTGCAGTCGATTGCTATCTGCCAGCAGTAACAACATTCGGTATTACATTCTGGAACATCTTCAAATGAAAGCCGACCACAGGGCCAGGAGGGCCAGGAGGGTCAGGAGGGGCGGGTGGCACAGACATCACAGACATCTACGTTCAGACCCATTTAACATGTCAAATCAAATCCAGAACGAGGTCATCTAATTGTTGTACACTTATTTATTTATTTCTAGCGTAAAACAACGCACATATTGATTTTAATTGAATATGATTGACGTCCGTTTTCGGCTGCCTCGATTGTATATCTTTTGGGCGATAATCTCTAGCGGTGGGTGGTGGTGGGGGGAATGGGTATGTCCCCCGACCTAGTCACAGTCAGGTCTTTATCACCTCGAAACACAATATTTTTAATTAAGCAACGGGAGGGGGAGGCACTCTGCAAAGAGAGAGAGACCGAGATTGCTGGGGGTATTCCGAAGATCTTTGATTTAGCGATAATTTCATTAGCTATTTGTCATCAAGGGGTCTGCTCTGGTCTGGTCTGGTCTGGTCTGGGCTTAGCGAGAAAGTAAGGTTCCTGGGAATCAGCAAGAACAACTTAATTAAGGCCATCGATGGATGGATCGATGGATCGATGGATCGCTGCAACGATAGAGAGAGAGAGGACCCATTTTTGGGCTGCGATCGCAGAGGCATCAAGCAATTTGTATTCAGGTATCACACAGCAACAAGTCATTTCACACTTTGATCACGGAGCTCTGCAGCTGCAGCAACATACACGTAGTACTCGTAGTCGGGACGTAGCTGGACGTTGCCACTGGTGGCAGGGTCTGGCCTGTGCCAAGCCTTGGCCGGGCCTTAAAAGGATCTGCAACTGTGGAATGCGCTGCCTTGCATATATTAGTCGATTCAGTTGATTCAGTCGATTCCTGGTGTCCCGCACCCGCATTCGTATTCGCATTCGCATCCACTGAACACACATTCGCTGGTTTGTGGTGGCGGGGCGCAGGCGCAGGCGCAGTCGCAGTCGAACCTGCGCACCTTCGCAGTAATTAACTTGTTTCAATAATTACGCATGCGCATTTGCACATGTTGCATGCCCCAGCCAGCCAGCCAGCCAGCCAGCCAGGAGTGTCTCTCCTCCCTGGCTCTCCTTCCACTTGTTACAGCTTGCAACAAGATTTTTGCATTGCGTGTGCTACGCACTGCCACAGACTTATGCAGTCGGCAGACTACTCCACGGAGGACAGGGTAGGCTAGCTAACTGATGCAGTTTGCTTGGCAGCCAGCACTTGGCAGTGGATACTCCCTTGAGGGATTCAAAAGATAAAGTGGGGGATTGGGATCTAGCTAAGGAATCTACTGGGAGATCTGTTTAGAGATGGCTTAGGAAAGGGAAGGCTTAGCCCCCCAAAGTTTGTTTGAACAGCCTGCTGTCAGTGCAGATTCTGCTTAATATAATAAATAAATTCCCTAAGAAACTTTCTCAAGCTTCTGCTGCGGATAAGCCACAAACTAATTGGTATATTAATTTTGGATTTGTGTGCATATATTCTACATACATAGAGCCCCGCACTAGTTCACACTGAGTCGAGGAATCCCACTGTCAACAGTATCAATGCATTTCATGTTTATTTTTCACACTATCATTTCAATTCATTTTGTTCCCTTCTATATACTATGTATATGTAGTAAATATATTGAGTTTGAGAAATAAATATGATTAGAGTGGATCTACTGCCTGTGGCACCTGTCTGATCTATTACGTATATGCGGGTAAAGGTTTAATTTATAGATCAGCATCAAAAATGAAAGAAAGATCACTCCGAATCATGATTTCGGATCTGCTACTCTATGAGTTTTGCAATCTAGAAATATGGCTTGAAATTACTTGACAGAAGTTCATTTGAAAATCAGAAGGTAATACGCTTGATTCCTTGAATGGCGGATCTATGCCGTGTCTTTAGGTGCAAATGTTTTTCTAATTGGAGAGTGTACATGTGTATATCCAGCATGCTTCTCCTCTTAGTAAATCAACCCCCTGTTCCTTCTAATATATGCCACTCTATGCCCTAGAGTATCTTCTCCTTCGTTACTCCCCCGAAAGCCGAAACAGGACAGACAAAATGCTGTTGGAATGTTTGTTTTTGGGCAGCAAATTTATGCAGCAGCCGCCGCTTATTAAGAATTCGTTGGCCCATGCTCCGTGCTCCGTGCTCCGTGCTGCTGGCTCTCCTGGCTCTCCTTGGCTGCCCAGCCTACTGCAGTGGTCTCCTATCCCCAGCGGACGCTGTCCGTTCGAGGTGGCAGTGGCACTTAATTATTGATAGCATTACAAACGCGGTTCAGTGGGTCACGCCGTGTACCCGTCAGTCGGGCAGCAGCCCTTTGAGATCTCCATTTTTGCTGCTGCTCCAGTCGCTGGCTGGCTGGCTCCACTATGCACAATTTATATATTTCGAAAGTTCAGAATTTTGGACACGACACACACAAACACACACACAGACATATACGAGTGGAGTGGTGGGGTGGGGTGGGGTAGGGTAACACAGGGAGGGGTATGTAAGTGTAATTTTTATGTTGCTGGTTGGGGAATTGATGTGGTTGATGTGTAAGGGAAGGGGTGGGGGCGGAGGTTACTACTGCATCATGCTGGCATCAATGTCATGCACTTCGACATTCTCCATGCCGGGCATGCTCTGGACCATTTCGTTCATGTCGGCGGCACTTGTGGAGGAACCACCACCACCACCGCCACCACCGCCCATGCCCATGCCAGACATGCCCTCCATGCCGCCCATGGCGCCCATTTCGCTGAGAGCAGCCAGTGCATCCATTTCGGACATTCCACCGAGGCCACCAGCCATATCGTCCATGCCGCCCATGCCGCCTGCGCCGGCCAGCTTGGCCAGCAGATCCGAGTTGCGAATGTCCGTGATGACCACCTCGGTGGTGCCCAACAGGGAGGCGACACCCGCGGCATCCGCGATGGCTGTGCGCAGCACCTTGGTGGGATCGATGATGCCCTTGGCCAGCAGCGGTCCGTACTCGTTCCGCATGGCATCGTAGCCGTAGTCGCCGCTGCCGTTCATCACCTGGGCCACCACCGCGGCGGCATCCACGCCGGCGTTCTGGGCAATGGTGAAGCTGGGCATGCGCAGCGCCTGGCAGACGATGTCGATGCCCTTGCGGTGGTCCTTGTTCTGCGGCTTCATGCCCTCCAGATGGGCGATGCAGCGGAGGAAGGCGGTGCCGCCGCCGGGCACAATGCCCTCCTCGATGGCCGCACGAGTCGCGTTGAGGGCGTCCGTGACGCGGTCCTTCTTCTCGCTGACCTCCACCTCGCTGCTGCCGCCAATGTGCAGCACGGCCACGCCCTTGGTGAGGGCGGAGAGGCGCTGGCGCAGGCGATCCGACTGCTCCGGCTTGGTCTTTGGGTCCTCCAGCTCGTACTGGATCTGCTCGATGCGCAGCTTGAGCATCGCCGGGCGGGCCTTGCCCTGCAGCAGCAAGGTGCTGTCCTTGGTGATGATGGCCTCGCCCACCTGGCCCATATCCTCCAGCTGGGCGTCCTCAATCCGGGCAAAGTCGATGTCATCGCCGAAAATGGTGGCGCCCGTGGCGGCCGCAATGTCGCCGAGCAGCTCCTTGCGGTGGTTGCCATAGCTGGGCGACTTCACGGCACAGATCTGCAGCTCCAGCTTGATCTTGTTGAGCACGAGGGCGTTCATGGCCTCGCCGCTGATGTCCTCGGCGATGATGATGAGCGGCCGGCGCTTCTGCATCGACTGCTCCAGACCCTTGACGATCTGCGACAGCGATGTGATCTTCTTCAGGCAGATCAGCACCAGGGCGTTGCCGAACTCCGCCTTGGAGCCCTTGGGGGTGTTCACGAAGAAGGGCGACAGGTAGCCCGTGTCGAAGCGCAGTCCCTGGATGACATCCAGCTCGTCCTTGAGCCGCTTGCCCTCCTTCACGGTGATGGTGCCCTTGGGGCCGACGCGATCCGTGGCCTCGGCAATCAGTCGCCCGATCTCAGCATCCCCATTCGCCGAGATGGTGGCCACCTGCTCGATCTCCTGTCGCGACGCCACCGGGCGCGACATCTGCTTGAGCTGCTCCTTGACCGCCTCCACGGCCATGAGCACCCCCGCGCGCACCTCCAGCGGATTGCCAGCCTTGGTGAACTGCTGGAATCCGCCCTTGACGATGGCCCTGGCCAGCACCGTGGCCGTGGTGGTGCCATCGCCTGCCGCCTTGTTGGTGTTGTCGGCCACATCCTGCACCAGCCGCGCGCCCATGTTCATGTGCTGATCCTTGAGCGCAATGGCACGGGCCACCGTGTACCCGTCCTTGGTGATCTTCGGCGAGCTCCAGGGCCGCTCCACGATGACGCTGCGTCCCTTGGGGCCCATGGTCACGGCCACGGCATCCGCCAGCAGATCCACGCCACGAATCATCAGGGCACGCGCCTCCGCCCCAAAGCGCACATCCTTCGAGTAGCAGCGCACAAAGCTGCGATTCGCACGCAGCGAGTCGCGCACACAACGGCGAAACATTTTCACAGAATCACAAAGGGAGAGAAACGTTCGGCAAAGTTTGGAAAAATATTTGGGATTATTTTCGAACTCGAACTGAATACGTTGACTACGAAACTGGAAGTGGGGGAATGAATTTTGGGATGGGTTTCAGCAGCCAAGGGACATTGACATTGCCCAGCAGGCCTACTACTTTTTTTTTTTTTACTATTTTTTTTTTTTTTTTTATTAATGTTTTTTTATGTTACAATTATCAGAGACAATAAAGTGCAATTACTTCACGTACTGTTACTACTGCTTAGCAACTTTTTTAAGGGTCAAGGCGAGATTTTGGTTATAGATTTTTCTGTATTTAGCAGCCTGAGCTTAGAAATGTCATCTAACAGCTCTGGAATACCGCTAATAAATTCCCTGTGAGTGACCTCACTCCTTCGAGGAGTACCAACAAAGTACCTGCTCTCTCTCTCTGCTTTACGCACATTTCCAATTAATTTCATTTCCGTTTTGCTGTTTTGTTGTTTTGGTGGGTGCCCCCTTGGCGGAACACATGTTTCAATCTTCAAAAGGTAGCGAAAACATAGAATCAATAATTAAGAAATGTCAAACATAAAACGAGAGGCCCGCGTCATGTGATAAGAGCAGAGAGCGAACCTCGACGCGACTTATTTTTGGGTGGTGCTCTCTGCTCGCGTGACAAATCATAATTGATTGTTCGCTTAATTGAATTGGAGTCTGATAAGGATGAGGATAGTGGCCCCAAAAAAAAAAATAAAGAAGTTATTTCCACAGCAAGACAGATTCCCCATCACAGATGTCAGTGAGTCAGGGCCACCCATCCATCCATCCATCCATCCATCCATACAGTCAGCCAGAGAGCCAGCTAGCAGACCCACACGTGACTCACATGACTCCCAAAGCACACTAATAAATTGTTAATGGTTTTATCACAGCTCCCAGGGTGTACGGAGTCGCTCGTAAAACCATAGAAAACCAAAAACATTCAGATAAGCGGAGTTTGCCCTCGACTTGGGGTCTCTCTGCCACTCTACCCTCCGCATTAGTCACCCGGGGGAATGGTGGTTCTACGCGCTTTGTGGTGGATCCTCCTGCATAAGGATCGACCGCCTGTCAGCCTGCAAAATCAACTCATCAACAGTGACAGGCCAGAAGTTTCTCCAGCTGCATCTCTCCAGCTCTTCGTTACTCCGATCGCAGATCGTATACGACAATCGTACAATCGCATCTATATGGCCATTTCGCCTTTGCAATTGACGCGTGATTGGCATTCGCTATCCCCATCAGCATCCACTCGAACGTTCTGCGGAGCCCCCCAAAGATAGGCATGCTCGAAACGAGTTTTGCTGCAGAGCCAAACCAAATGGATCGATGGATCGATGGATCGATGGATGGATCGTTTTTAAGGTGTCACCTACTTGGTATGGGGAGTGTGCGACCAGTTGGCAGTCATTTAGCAATGCATATTCAATTAGTGGGGGCTAGGAAGGCTACAGATATCTCTTCTATGGAGTGCACTCTAGGGCGCTGCCACAACCTTTGGCTTCTCTAATTGGGTATTCTTTTCTTCCTCTCCATTTTCTCTATAACTTACTTTCCCGTCGGCTCTTCATTTGAATCTTCCCTGCCTCTCTGCCCATCTCAATTTGCATGCATGCCCCCTCCCAGTCCCCCTGTCTGCTGCTAATCAGAAACCCCAACAAACATTCAAGCAGTCCCCAGAGGTAGCGTTATTTAATTTGACTCGAAATCAACTCTTCCATTAGGCGCAGGCATCGCTCCAAATTGCAGCGGCGACACCTGCGCGCCCGCCTCACCTGCGCCTCCACCTGGCTGCGCTCTCTCTCTCTCTCTCTCTCTCTTCTTTCCAGTGCTTAGCCTCGCTGCTCTGATAGGCCACTCCCCGCTTTGGGAGCTGGCCAATCAGCGCGAGCTGTGAGAGAGACGCCTGAAGAGAGAGCCGCCAGCCGCCAGCCGCCGTCGCGTGTGTTGGTGGAGTGGGAAGTTGTTCATTGTCGTTGCTGTTGTTGGTCTTTGTGTTTGGTGTTGTTGTCGTCGACAGGCAATTTACATGAAATCAAAATGAAACGTATAAAACAGGGGGGAGAGTGGGCGTATGGGCAGGCAGTGTTACGGGCATAGTCGACCCAAGAATGTGCTGAAATATTAAAAGAATAACTCTGGCATGGCAAATCCTTAGTTGATGCAAGCTGGCAGCAAAGTAGAGCAACATTTGAGAATACCGTCGGATAGGTACCTATAAGAAACATTTACAGAATACATAAGGAATTCCATTTGAGCTTTGAAATAAATCTAAAGAGTGGTACTCGAATGGGTCTTCGTTATGCTAAGAAATGAAAATTGGCTAAGCCTGCTTTGGGCGAAAAAAATTTGTTTAAAAATTGCACGACTAAAAGAAAGCATCGAATGATTTTACAGTTAATTACTAATTAATACTTATATTTATATATTGTATTAAGTTTATTCAGAGAGCTGCAGAAAATGATGACAAGCTTCAGCAGACATTCCATATACCCCACTTTGTGTGCCCCCCCCCTCCTGTTCGGGCAGAGCATTTCCATCTTCGAGCAGTCCACTCAACTTTTGTTTACTTAAACTTTTACCATTTTGGGGTAAGTGTTAAAGTGGCCGCTCCAGTCCCGCCAGAGCCCTGCGAGTAGTATTCCCTGCGAGTATTTCGCGGGTGGGTGGCAGTGGCAGCGGGAGGGACATAGACTCACGGCTTGAGGTCTGGGTCTCTGGCTCTCTGGTCTCTGGCTTTGCGCTCTTTTGATATATTTTATGGTGCCATTGGCAGAGCTGATTGTTTTTTAAATTGTTTTTGCACGCGATTCGTGTTTGTCGGCTTTATGGCTATAATACTCGTATCCCCCCCGTACACCCCGTGCTCCCTGTGCTGCCCAGTTTGGCAGCCACGACACCAACATTGTTGTTATTGTTGTTTTAGTTTTTGGTTGTTTCTGGTGTTGCCGTAGCATAATTTAATTTGAATGCATATGGGACCCCAAAGTGGGTAATTGAATAAGTTTTTCTGCTGCCATTTCCAGTTCGGCTCAAATGGGATCGCTATCGCTATCGCTTTACGTTTTCGTTTTCGTTGCTTTTTTATTTTTATAAATTTGATTAGCGCCACGGCGCGAAAATATTTTGCACGTTTTGCCGCGCGAATCGCGTGCACAAATTATGGAGAGCGGGAGCGGGTGAGTGGGAGAGAGGCGGAGCTCCCACTTGAGGGGTGCAAATATGGCAATTTATTTTCTGGACAGACTACACAGGGCGCAATAATGGGGGATATTTATTGGCTAGCTACAGACATTTACAGTGTATAAAATTATCTAAAATGAAAAAAAAATTGAAAATAAAGAAAATTTTAATTTATTTTTCTAAAAACTTTCACCTTGAAATCTATCCAAATTTTTCCCCAAGTGTAAAGAGTTTTCCTTGTGCTCTGTTCGTACCCCCAATTGATATGTAAACATATTGGATTTTTAATATTCTTGAACACTCCGCTGAGTGGAGGTAAATTTACACACTCGAAACGTGTAAAGTTCAATTTCTGTTGGTTTTTCCTCGAATTTCGGTGGAGATTCGCTGGAATAAATCAGCTGCGGCTGGGGCTGCGGCCACGCCCACACCAATTCCTGTGGCTTGTAATCAAAATCGATTTCTCATTTTGGCACACACTTCTCCCCGCTCCCCGCTCCCCGCTGCCTGCTGCCTGGCTGCTGCTGCTGTCCATATGCCCGTGAAATTGAAAATATAATTTCGTTCAGAGAACCACGTACGAAATGGAGGAAATTGTTCTTAATATGATTAAAGTCCATTCATTTGGCGCATTATCCGAATTATGCGCACAAAAAGGTTCGCTTAAGGTCGGACATTTGATTAGAGTAATTTTGTGGCTGATTTTCGTTTGGGGATTTCTCAGTGCTGTCATTGAACTTGGCCAGGCCAGCAGGCGGAAACGAAATCAAAATCGAAATATATATTTAGCAAACAATCATGCAGCGAAACTTTGGCTAATTGCCTGAGACCTGAGACCTGAGACCTGTCCCGGACTTTTGGCTCATTAATCATAATGCCGAATAATGCATAATTCTGCGGTGGCTGTGGCTACTTTTTAATTAATTTGATTAGCATTGATCGCTTGAATGCGAATTATGAATCAATTTATGGCTCAGATCTCTCCCTGTTTCCGCAGTGGATGGATTGGATGCTGCCGAAACGAGTTCGTTGCCTAAGTCTTTTGTTGCCTGCTTTTGTCGCTTTCCCCCCCAATGGAAAAAGAGCTGCTGCTGCTGCCAGCATCCGCGCTTTAATCATTCTGACATGTCTCTCGCCTTTGATTTGCATAATTTTGAACAACGTTTAATGCCCCGCGACACGCCCCTTAAATGATGCCGCTCTGGCGTGGGCTCGATTCGATTATTGATCGGACAGGACAGATCATGAATATGCATAATGGACAGACAGTCCATTAATTGGACAGTTCACAAGATTGTTAGCTTCTTGAATGTGGCCAGGCCCACACTTGAGTTTTAATTACTGGCTGTAGGGGGAAACTATGTTGAAACTTTCTTTGCCTTTGCCTTTTGCTGCCATGTAAGTGCCATGAAATTCAATTAATAATCCAAGCTATGAACAGTGGGTGAACCCCCCCCTCTGGCTGAATCAGACCTACAGCAAAGGCCATGCCCAGTCATGCTCGTAGTCACTGTTGGAGCTCTGTCTGACTCTGGGTCGCAGCCAACTCTCACCAGTTACCAGTTACCAGACGAGACGAGACGAACAAATGTTTGCACAACACACGATAATGATGACAAGCCAAATTAGCTACTAATTTTCACACAGATACAGCTGCACACACACACACACACAGACACTTTGAATGAGGGTCAGATCGTAGCGCCAGGACCAGGACCTCACACAGCTGACGTTCGTTAAGGTTCGCTTCGGAGTGAGTGGCACGCCGGAAGTGGCTGGCGAGGGCGAGCGAGAGAGATCCAAAGAGTTTCGTTCTGAAATTGCCATAAATCAGCATTTGATTATCCTTTGTACCGCCTAATTTTACCCCTCGAATCCCGCCCCCCCTGTACCCTGCGCACCCCCCCTGTACCCACCACTCCTTTAGTTGTCATGTGCGTGTTGGTTTTCATTTTTAATTTATTAATTACTAGGCGGTGCACACTCGTTGCGACGCGACTCCTTCTCCTTGTGCCTTGGGCTTCCGCTATTAGCGAAATCTTCTCAGTATCTCCTTGTTGGGGGTTCTGCCCCGTCAGAGATGCGCCGAAAAGGAGCCAAAAGAATGGCCAAAATTGGCTTAGAATCTGCCAAATGGGCGGCGGCGGCGGCTGACAGGCGTTCCAGACAACTGCCACTTGGCTACCCCACAAAAAAAAAGAAGAGAGGGGGGAGCAGATCCACGATCACCTCGGGTGGTCAGCGGACGTCACTCAAATTGAAGTCCGGCAAATGAGAATTGCCCAAGACTGGCGAGAGTGGAGGGGAGCAGCTGCCCAATCTCCATCATCTCCATTTGGAGCTGAAGCTGAGGCTAAAGCTGAAGCTGGAGTTGTTGGATTTTTAATTAAGCGTGGCCTGCACCCGGGGCCTTTTCGTCAAGTAGCTCACTCGGCCACAGATCGGATGTGCTGCGGATGGGAGGGAGTAGAGCTGGGAGCTGGGAGTGCTGGCGAGTGGATGCTGAACAGGTCTTGTTAGTAATTTTTAATTTGAGCTCTTCTGACAGCTGGCTGTCATATAAATTTAATTGAATTTACATTTTTATTAATTGCCAAGACTGCGGTTAGTAGTGGAGTAGAGTAGAGTAGAGAATGGAGTGCGCTACCCGTTGGCATGAATGGGAGATGAGTTGCTCAAGCACAGGCCTGCTCTTGCTCTGGCCTGGCTGGGCTACTCATCCACTTCTTCTTCTTCGTCTTCATCTTCTTCTCTGTGGTTCGCTCTCTGAATGAATTTAATTTGAGATGATTTGTTGATGGTTTCGTTGCGGTGATTTCTTGCTGACTAATTTAATGTGATTTTTAAATTGCCAGCCAGGCTGTAGCTTCAGCCTTGATGCTGGCACTGTGCGGCTCTGCCAGCGATAGCGGGCTGAGTGTGTGGCCTGCAGCGGGGGGGCAGCGACAGGAGACTTGAGGAGATTGATTTGGGGAACGGTTAGCCCGGGAGGAAGAACATTTTCATGGAATTAATGAGATGACACGCCTCTCCCTGGGTGACTCCCCTACATGTCTCTCGCCCCTCCGATCATTATGAACTAATCTAATTTGCCTGTGCGATGACAATCGAACTGCTGCATATTCTATATCCTCATGCATCCCATTCAGATCCTCCTCCTGTGCCTGTCGAGCGCTAACGAGTCCAGTCCAGTCCCTGCGAGACGCGGCCCTTTTTTGCAGGCAGTTTAATTCGCAAATCAAACAACCTCGGGGCACAGCTCGGAAATTCGCGCATAAGTAAATTAAAAATAAATTTATGTCCAGTCCAGAGTGGTGGGCAGCGGGGGGAGCGGCAGGAGGTGGAGCAGTATGTGTAAACGGGTTCCGTTCTGTGCCAGGGGGGGCGGGGATCGTTTTTCGACGATCGCGAATGCAAATCCAATTAAAATTTCCCAACTTCGAAAAGAGGCTTTTGGGTTGGTGGGGGGCTATGGGCCATCGCATCCTGCGACTGGCGCTAAGCCGTAAAACGAAGCTGTGCGCTGATTTAAAACACTGCGGGGCGTGCTTATTGATTAAATACAAATTGCGTTCATTCATCATCAGCTCGTTTCTGGCTGTTTCTATCGCTGTTTTTGTTGTTATTTGCTGCGTCTGGCAATTAAATTACGATTTGCAGTTTCTGCTCTGCTGGTAATTTCCTTGTTCCGCATATAAAACACAATTAAACTGCCAAAGCAAGCAGCGGCAGGTCGTAAAATGCCCCAAAGAATAAATTAATTTTCAAAATCAATACATTTGCGGGCACTGGGCTGCCAACTCGTGGGGATTAGGTGTTAACAGAGCTGGTGGATGTAAAAAACCTGTAGAAAATGTGTAGTGACCGTGTCGTTACCATGTTCAAAAACCATGTACGGTTTTGCCCAGAAAACAGACGGGTCGGCCAGCGAGGGATCCATGGCGGAGAAGTTGAGGCGTGCCGCATGCTTCTGATGGTAGGTCTCGTCGTGTTCCTGTTTTCCTATAATTATTCGTTTCGTATCAGTCAGCTTTTGTCAGCGAGCAATTCGAATATTTCGTTTCATATCAGTCAGCTTTTGTCAGCGAGCAATTAGAATATTTCGTTTCATAGCAGTCAGCTTTTGTCAGCGAGCAATTAGAATATTTCGTTTCATATCAGTCAGCTTTTGTCAGCGAGCAATTAGAATATTTTCGTTTCATATCAGTCAGCTTTTGTCAGTGAGCAATTAGAATATTTCGTTTCATATCAGTCAGCTTTTGTCAGCAAGCAAGTAGAATTTATTCGTTTCCTATCAGTCAGCTTTTGTCAGTGAGCAATTTTGATTTTTAGTTTCATATCAGTCAGCTTTTGTCAGCGAGCAAGTAGAATTTTTCGTTTCCTATCAGTCAGCTTTTGTCAGTGAGCAATTTGAATTTTTCGTTTCATATCAGTCAGCTTTTGTCAGCGAGCAATTAGAATTTTTAGTTTCATATCGGTCAGCTTTTGACAGCGAGCAATTAAAATTTTTCGTTTCATATCAGTCAGCTTTTGTCAGCGAGAAAATATAAAGTCGTTTCATATCAGTCAGCTTCTGTCAGCGAGCATATACTTTTTTCCTTTCATATCAGTCAGCTTTTGTCAGCGAGCAATTATAATTTTTCGTGTCATGTCAGTCAGCTTTTGTCAGTGAGCAATAAAAACATTTCTTTGGTTTTCTTAAATTTTTATTACATTTTTACATTTATTTATACCAGGGACCGTAAATAATGATTATTTTTTATATTTTTCTCGAAAAAATCATCCACTTAAAGTAGCCGCACAGAATAATTAAATAGACCTATAGTCTGCTCTAAGGATAAACTATGCAAATCCACCAAAATTTTTATATATATATATCGTCATGAGCCGATCGCGGTCAGTCGAGCCGAACAGAGCCGAACGCGATCGGTGCCAGAGCCTAAGACCTGGGACCGTACGCTGAAAACTCGGCTGCGTCACTTTCGTTGTATGAACTGGTACATCTACATACATATATACTGTATGGTTAGTGTTAGTGCTTAGGGTCAGGCGGTATATTTGATCGAAAAATCCACGGTCACACTAATCGTAAACGCGTAATTTTTATTTACATTTTTTTAAATCTAGTTTCCTCCGCCTCGCTACACTACCCTACCGACTATCTGCACTACATGATAACACTATCAGCAATAAAATACAAGAACAAACACATACAGGAATTATTGCAACACTACACCACTCGATGAGACGCAACAGCTGTTTATGTGCTGCTGCGGTTCGAGGCGTTTAATTGCATGAATGAATTCGATTCTGAGTGCAAGTCAACAGCACAGCAGAACAATAGAAGCCAGCTCAGGGCCAGTCAGAGACCCAAATGCAACGAAACGATGACGAGGAGCGCCTCATTGAAAGCGCGGAGCAGGACGATGAGGAGATTCTTGGTGGCGAGGGAAGTTTCGTTCCCGCCTTTCGACCCCATGGTCAGGACTACGACATGGCGGACGAACGCTGCCTGCTGGAGCGCCCGGAGGACGAAGTGGTCCTTGTGTCGAATGAGCCCACATCGGGAAAGCTCTATACCTACGTGGTCTTCTACCTGCTTGGAATTGGAACGCTGACACCGTGGAACTTCTTTGTGACAGCGGAAGATGTGAGTACGCCACCATGGAATATTTCCGCCCGCATTGTACCCTGAGTGCGACTGCACTTCGAACCTGCATGTGGGACAAGCGTAACTCCGCCGCTGGCGTTGTCGCCAGCGTCGACGCCTAAGGCGCGCTTATCGGCTTTGGCATTGTTATTTTTACGACTGTTGCTGCTGTTGTTGTTGTTGTGGCTATCGTCATGATTTTTTCTTTGTTTTGCGCTAATTATGGGGTTGAGTCACCCCCCGCAGCCCTGGCTTATGCGAAAATATGCTAACTCGTTCCTTTTCACCTCCCCTTCCCTTCCTCCTTTCGCAGTATTGGAAGTACAAATTCCGCAATACCACGCTCAATGACACTGATCCGGACGAGGAGCTCACGCCGCTGCAGAAGAGCTTCACCTGTGATTTGGCTCTCACGGCCACCATCGCTGGCACTACCTTCCTGCTGCTCAACGCCATTTATGGCAATCGGATCTCACTTAGGGTCAAAATGCTGGGCACGCTGTGGTGCATTCTCGTTCTGTTTGGCGTGACGACGGGCTTTGTGGAGGTCAACACGGATGCCTGGCAGGAGCAGTTCTTCCTGATCACACTGATCATTGTGGTCCTACTGAACTGTGAGTGGAGCCACAGCACGTTTCATATTTATGGTTAATTTACATCTCTTTTGGTACAGCCGCTGCGGCCACCATTTCGGGCGCCCTGTACGGCATCGCCGGCCTGTTCCCCTCAGAGTTCATGACTGCCGTGGTCAGTGGACAGGCCTTGGGCGGTATACTCACCGCTCTGGCCTTCATCCTGGTGCTAGCTTTTGACACGGGCCCTAACACGACGGCCTTCATCTTCTTCATTGTGGGTGGCGTGCTCATACTGCTCTGCATTGTCTGTTACGTGATCTTGGTGCAGAAGCCGTTCTTCAAGTATTATCTGGACGGCGGCGACAAGTACAAGGTGATAAGCGCGATACCCTCGCACAGCCGTAGCGAGGAGACGGAGGGCGTGCCTCTTGAGCCGATTATGCGGAAAGTTATGACTAAAATATATCTACACGCCGTCTGCATAGCACTGCTCTACACGACCACGCTGTCCGTCTATCCAGCGGTGACTGTGCTGATGCAGTCGGAGCACTCTGACAGCCACACCACATGGACGGGTATGTAGCAAAATCTCTCCCTCGGATTGTGTCCTAAAACTGATTCCTTTCAGATGTTTACTACATGCCTGTGGTCAACTATCTGTTCTTCAACTGCGGCGACTACTTTGGACGGCTCCTGGCTGGCTGGCTGGAGCGTCCCAGCAATGAGCAAACCTCGCTGCTGCTGACCGTAGTGCGCGTGGCCTTTATTCCGTTCTTCTTGTGCTCCAACACCAACGAGCACAACTTTATGCCTACTCTGGTGGAGCACGATTACTCATTCATCGCAATGATGATTGTGTTTGCCTTGTCCAACGGGTATTTAACTAATATACTGCTCATCATGGCGCCCAGGTTGGTAATCCTACTCCTACTTTGCGTAAAGATATTCAACAGTCATAGCAGAAGATCTGCAGCAGTTGCCATAAGTATTGCAAGCTTCGCCTATCTGTCGGTCGTAATTAATGCCGTTTATTCATTCAAAATGAAAATTTCCATATGCTTGGCGCACGTTTGTAATGCAAAAATGCAGCCTTGACTGCCATGCTATCGGACCAGCACTCGGCGTAGCTGCATTCTACACTGCAGAAGCTATAATGATAATTTTGCCCCATTGCATATGCTCCCCAGAATATTCTGCTCTGTTCTGTTCCCCAGTGTACTAATCATTTGTTTTTTTTTTGTTTACTTTACAGGAGCGTCAAGCAGCACGAGAAAGAGTTGGCGTCCTCCATTATGGCTGCTGCTCTCAGTGTCGGCATGGCGGTGGGCTCCCTGCTGAGCCTCTGTTTCGTGCAGATGTTGTGACCTGAATGTGACCCACGATGTAACTGTTGTTGCCGATTGGTGCCTTAGCTAATTCTATGTATAAGTTTTATGCTTTTATGTTACCTGATCCTCTTCATTTCGTTATTGTTAAGCATTTAGATCAAGACCTTGTACTGTCTCGTTTCGATTTAAAATCGGTTGTGTGATTGTCTTAGTAGCTCCCAAATTCGCCATTAATCTGAGAGATTCTTTTATATCACATGTACAATAACATTTAGTTTGTAAGTTTGTCAATTTTTTTGAATAATATCCTAGAAATAAAGAAACGTTTAAATCATGTTTTAAACAAAACTCAATTCAAGGGTTGATATTTTCTCTTGGTTTAACGTTTATTTTGTAGTTTTCTGCAGATCACAACAACAATGTGGATTAAGTTAATTGCTTTTATGCTTTTGACATTATTCATTGTTTTTTGAACGAATGAACTCCATTGGAAACACTGACTTGCTTTAATTGCATTGAGTTAAGAATTTACAGATTTTTATTTAATTTTTTGACGCCCTGTGCCTGTGCTTCTCTTGTACATTTCGCCTGATCAAGTATTATTTTTAGAAATGCTTTCAAACCGATCGACAATTGGAATCTTTAAAAGTTTGGAAAAGTATAACCTTCGCGGATCTGGCCCCATTTTGCTCGAGCTATAGCGCCAACATCGAAAGGTTTATCAAATGTCAATCTGGTCTCAAGCGATCGAGGATATTTTCCGGATCACGAGAAGGCGTGCCACGCCCAGATCGGATGTGTATGGCTGCCTTCCTGTGATCTACAACCAAGTATATATTTGGCATGCCTTTTTGTGATGGGAAAAAAACTGCTTAATCAGATCAACCTAAAATCGCGTTTGGTTTGGTTTTTGACCGCTGAAAGAGTTGCTTTGGGCTCATTGCTCGGCCGATCTGGTCCTGGTACTGAGTGCTGGGCACAGAGCGTTTTCTTTTGAATGAAAATACATATATTGGTTATATGGAATGATATCCTTTTTGGGGTCTTTGGGTGAATACTATATTAAATTCTTGCTAACATCAAGAGAGATTGGTTTTCGGTAAACGTCTTATAAGTGCCTTGGCAATATTATTGCAACAATGGGGTTCGGTTCCTCCATACACACGTCTGTACATCTGTATGTACGAGTCTGTATGTATGTATATTTGTTATATATAACGCTAGGGTGTCTAAACATTTATTTAACTAGTTTAAGTTTAAGTTTGTTAGGCAACAACAAATTCGTCCGTTGCGCTGTCCAAAAATTTCCATTTGCTATTTAGGGCCTAAATTGGGTTTTTCTTTTCATTTCTTTTCCATTCTAATTTCATATATTTTTTCCCCTCATGCAGTTTCTTCGTCCTTCCTCTCTCTTGTATTCTGTCTCCTGTTTATCAGTTTTTCTTGGTGTTTAACACCGATTTTTGCTTTTCAATTTAAATCTCATTTTCGTATAATGTTTATGTTTAGGTTTTTTTTACGTTTAATGCTCTTTATCCATAACTTAGTTTAACAAACAAACAAACACACACACGAACAACAAACATTGATTAAAGCCTTGTCATTGAAGAAGTGTGGGTTGGGGGTTGGGGCTTCGTTTCGTCTGGGTTGTGGGTGGGGTGTGCGGTGTTTTGGGCGCGCATGCAAAAGATAAAGATTAATCTGCAACGTTTAATAAAGCAACTACAACAACAACAACGATAAGGATACGGATACGGATAACGATAACGATAACGGTAGGCGAACAACATCGACAGCACACAGATACGAACGATTACAGATGCGCAGATACAGTTGAAGGAGTATAATGCTTACACGTAGTACAACACCAAAACTATTTCGAATTTGCTGCTTAGTTTTCTTGTAATTCTACTATACGAGTATTTAGTATTTACTGCTGCTATATTGCTGCTTGCTGTATTGGATTAATCGAGCCAATTATTTAATTACATATGTTGATAGATAGATAGATAGATAGATACATATCTGTGTTTGCGCACACGATAGACACCGATTGAGAGTAGATAACGATAGACGATAGACAACACCAACACCAACACCGATATCGATGCCATAATATCGAAGAACACACATACATAGATGATACACAGATACACATATCTGTGGCTTTATACCAATTCTCTTGGTTATTGCTTGCTTGCTATGGGGGGGGGGAGGATATACATAAGTATCTTGTGGAATCTTACTATGAAAAAACTACGACACACACATTTAAATTCAATTACAACATCAATTTGGGAGAGACACATTTAGAGAGACTTCCAGAGAGAGAGAGAGAGAAACAGATAGATAGATCTCTCTCTCTCAATCCAGGTTGCTGGTTAAAGATTCTTGATAGTCGATTCTTGGGTAAAATGGGAAATTACAACATCTAAGGTGGTTCTGCCGTCCAGTGAAATGTACTTTCAACTTTGTTTTTGATTTATCTCATAGTGTTTCGCTAAGAATTATGTGTTTACTTTGGTATCGTATCTTTTTTGGGGAGGTTGGGTATTGGTATGTGTGCGGGTACGGGTATGGGTACGGGTACGGGTACGGGGTATGTATGCTGAATTTTGGATTTCGTTACAAGGCAGCTTGGGTAAGTTTTTCATTTGTTTTTGATTCCAATAGTTTTTCATTGCATTTTGTCGCTTTTTGGTTTCACTTTTTTGATTGGTGTTCCGAGTTTACCGAGAAGATCTGGTGTCTGGTTTTGGCTCTGATCTGATCTGATCTGTTCTGGTCTACAATAAAGGTTAAATATACTCGTAAATTTTGCATATTTTATTGTTTGATTGTCTTGAGGCTTTGTTGTTCCTTTGGTATATATATTTTGTATATATCTTTTTTTTGGTTTTTGTATTTTTTTTTTGGTGTTGTAGGTTGTGCGTCGTCTGTGTGTGTTTAATGTGTATGCGTGTGCGTTAGAAGAATAATGTTTATAAAAATTAACTAAATTCAAAAAAAAAAAAACCGTTAAATGTTTAAAACAATTCGATAGAGAATTTTATTGGAGTTTTTCTATCAACTAAAAAAATGAACGTAAGCATAGTGACTGAGGGTGGAAAAACAATCATTAATCAATAAATAGCAACCAACCGACCGAATAAAAAATAATATAATTGACTAAATTGTTGGCTTAGACTTTGTGCTTGCCGCTGCAGAGATTCATTCCACAATCCACCCATGGTGCATGGAAATTGTGCGGGCCGAACGAGCTTAAACTAATCGTATAAATTAGATTAATTAAAACTGATGTAAAAGAGTAATACACACAACCACATTTAGCATTTAGAAAAATCTCCAGATGGAGCACTAGCAGACGCGATGCAGTTCCCCCCTGCCCCCGCAGACCCAGTGTCCTCCGTTCTATCCCCATGGATCATCCCCCTGCATCGCCCTAGTCTGCTGCTGCTTGACCACAAATAAATTATACTTAGATTCTGTTACGTTTTTCTTGCTGTTCTTGCTTAACACTTGGACACTCAGAGTTTCGGCGAAGTTCGAGTAGGAAGAAACCGTACGGCTCTCGGCTTCACGTCAGGTCCGTCCATCCATGCACTAGATATAGACCGATAGTTACAGTATACAGTGTACAGATACAGATATATATATATAGATACATTAACTACAAATACATCGTACATGCGAGAGCGTTACATTCTAGTTTGTTCAGTATGAAAAGAAGCGATTTCTGGCGTTGCCTTTGCACGGTTTTAGGCTTAGGATTTAGATGCCCCTAAGATCTAGTCGAGTCGAGGTTGAGTTCCCGTCGAACAAAAGGGTTTTCAGTTTTTGTTTAGCTTAAGAACTACGAAGACTTTTTGTTTTCTATTTTCTGTCGCGAATACTGAAGACCGACAAACTAAAAACTAAAGAATAAAGAATAAAGAACCACTTTCAAGAGCACTCAATGGGAGCGCTTACGTCTTCATCTCCGTGGCCGCTGCAATGCTGTGATGCGACCTGGCCGGCGATACGGCCGAGTGTCCGCCCGCAGCTCCGGCATCCAGATTCAGTGTGAGATTATTGCCCGAAATGGCCGACGAGCCGGAGCCGGAGCCCGAGCAGCCATGATGATGCGGTCCATGGAAGAGCACCAGGAAGCCGTTGTTGGAGACGCAGCTGCGAGATTCTGCATCCTTGTCGAGTATTTGACGAGCCTGTGCAAAGGGCAGAGAAAACCTTAGAGAATGAACGGCAGGGATATGCATGGCTGTGCACCCACCTTGGAGCGGTGCTCGGCCAGGGCATTGCGCACTGAGTCGTGCTGTTTCTGCAGGTCGTCCGTGCGCCTGTCGAACGTCTGCTTCAGACGCACACGCTCGGCCACTCCTCGCTCCACCACAGAGCTGGCCACCTCGCGCTTCATTCTGGAAGAAACAGGAGACAGACAACATCAGTGGAATAAATTCAGACGGTGGGGAGACCCTAGAGGCTACGGCTACGGCTACCCACCTGACCAGCTCGTCGCGATCCCTGTGCACTGTGGCCAGATTCTTGACCTCGTTGCGGCGCGCCTCCTGCAGCTGGTGCATCACCTCGCCGGTGACCTTGTCCAGGGAGGCCTTCAGCTGCTTCATCTGCCCGGTCTGGGAGGTCTTCAGCACCTTCTCGGCGGCCGTGTATATGGCCTCGTGATACTTCTCCTGCAGCTCACGGTACTGGGCCGTGTACTCGCGACAGGCGCTGCGCAGGCGCGACTCCTGGGTGCTGCCCTCCAGGCTGCTGCTGCCGCCGGCCAGCTCCTCGCCAGCATCGGCGCCGCCAGCGCTCTCCTCGCTGCTGTCGCCCAGATCGAGGGGGCAGGCGGGTATCTCGACGCCCGGTTCGCTGTTCGGAGAGAGACAATTACTAATTTCAACGGCGTCGTCTGGCAGTGGCACCCAACACCCCACAGCGAATCCCGCCGCACACTTACAGACTCTTGTTGCTGAGCCGCTTCACCAGCTTGTTGGTGATGGCAAACTTGGGCTTCTTGCCCTCGAGCGGACTGCTCTTCTGGCCGGCTATCTTGAGCTTCTCCTTGTCGTGCTTCTTGCGCAGCGACTCCAGCTTCTTCTCCATCTCCAGGCGCTTCTCCTTGACGGACTTGTGGTCGAGCAGCTTCTCCAGCGGCTCCGCCACCACGGGCTCCACATCGAACTGCGACGACTCCACCTGCCTGATCGAGGTGTTCACCGACTGGTCCAGCGAGTGCTGATGCTGCATGCTGCTGGGCGCCACAATGCATTCGCTGTCATCGCCCGCGCCACGGCCCACGCCACCGCCGCCGCCGCCGCCGCCATCGGTGCGGTCCGTGGGCGGCTCCACGCTCCAGGCAGCCGCCGCAGAGATGCTCGCCCTGTGCTTGGGCGAGGTGGCTAGCGACTCCACCGGACGCAGCTCCTTCTTCTGGCCACCTACTTGGACGAAAACGACTGGAGGATCAGACAGAGAATCGAGCAGGGTGGGTGTGCAGAGAGAGAGTGAGAGAGTTACAGGAGGGCGTGGGGCGGGTTGGGTGTGTCCGTCAACCGGTTTGTGTGTGCGTGGTTTGGGATTTGGGGTGGTGTGGGTGGTGTTGGGTGGTGTTGGGTGGTGTTGGGTGGTGTTGGTGGGGTTGGGTGGTGCGTGGTGTTGGTGGTCGTGTTGTTGTTGTGGTTTAACCAAATCCAAAATCCAAAAGTTTTTAACCGAAAGTTACATGAAACGTTACAAAAAAGAAAAGTAGAAAGAAAAGAAAGTAAATTAAAATCTCTCAACTCGGTGGGCGGTGCAATGGGAGATCCAGTGGCTACAGCTGCTACTACTACTACCGAGTACTTTCTACAGCTACAGTGGAACAACACAATGAACTCTACTCACACGACTTGGAGAGATCTTCGTCGGCGCTGACCAATGCATCGGTCTCGTCCGTGAGCACCGACAGCTGCATGTCGCGCTTCTCGCGCTCGCTCTGGTACTTGATGGGATTGGCCAGGGCCTCGGCGAAATCGGAGAGGCCGTGCGGCACATAGTCCTTGACCACCACGCACAGGAAGAGCGAGGCCAGGGCGATCGGCTGGCCCACCTCCGAGCGGAGATTGACGTGCCGATACCCCGGACAGAGGCCAATCACTGGCAGCACCCGATGGCCGATCAGCTTGCCACCCTCCTCGTAGGCGGCTATCCGTATGCTGGCCAGCTCCGGCAGCACCACCTTCTTGAAGACGAACGGATCCTCATCGTACACGGGATTCATGCCGTTGTCGCGCACCGTCTTGGTGCGGAACCGCTTGCGCACTGTGTCCGCCGGCAGGCCGTACATTTCCACCTCCACGAACGTGTTCACCCGCTTGTCCGTGAGAAATTGGCCGGACAGCACTTGTATCGAGACGGTGCCCGCAATGATGCCATCCACGGTGCTCTCGGCGAAGGGATCCAGCCGTCGATCGGAGCGACGCATAAACTCCGGCTTCAGCAGATAGCCCGATCGGGCATTGTACTCGAAGATGCCCAGATTGAGCTGCATGGCCAGGTCGAGGGTCTGGAAGTTGAGCGCCACCAGCTGGCAGCCCGCGTTCCAGAACAGCTGCGGCATGAAGTTGGAGCTGTCGAAGCGCGTGCCCGCGGGATAGACCCTCGACAGCTGATGCTTGTTGTAGTTGACGAACTCAATGGGCCGCTCCTTCAGCAGCGTTGTGGCCTGCTTCTCATCGAACGAGGACATCTCGTAGCAGCGATTTTTCTCTACGAAAAGGGGGCAGATCATTAAAGCAGGGACTGTAATGGAGCCAGGGCCAGTACTCACTTTCTGCATTCTCAAAGGAGCTGAAGTGTATGGGCTGCACATAGTTGACCAGCGCTGAGATCTCCGCTCCGGCTTCCGTTTCCTTTTGGGCCTTCTCCGGCGGCGGTTCGTTGCCGCTGGGTGGATTGGGTGTGGTATTGGGCAGGGATTCATCGTCCGAGGAGCTGTCCGAGTCCGAGGACCCAGTGCTGTCCTTGGAGCTCTGGCGTATTTGCTAAAGGGGAGATAGACAGAGTTGAGAGACAGAGTTGAGAGATATGAGAGATATGAGCGATCTGGGTACAGGCTAATCCTTTTGTTTGCCCTGCAGCCTGCAGGCTGGGGCGGTCACGTACGCGAAACTATTAAATTGCATGTCACACAGGGCGAATGGTAAATGGAAAATGTTGGAAAATGCAGCAGAAACGGGGTACCCCACAGATGGAATATGAGACCCATTATTATGTTGTGTGTGTTGTTATCGCTGTCACAGATCCTTCTGCTGTACCCCCTCCCCTCGTGCCCCCTGCCCTGCTCTGGCAGGATAATGCGAATGCAAGACAAGAAAATGGCGCAGATTGTGTTTCCTGTTCTGTTCTGTTCTGCTCTGTTCTGCTTTGCACAATGCATGCTGTCATTGTTTGCTGGGGGCACTGGGTATGGGTAAGGGGTAAGGTGGGTCTGTGTTCCTGCCCCCTCCATTGCGAATCATCCATCGAATCGATTTATAAAAGCCCCACAATGCCCTGACAGCCGAACGGCCGAACGGAGTGAGGGATAAATGTGCTTTGTGTCGTCCAAGCAAAGAGTTCAATCCCTCTGATCCCTCTGATCCCCCTGATCCCGGATGCCATGCACTCGTCGTATCCCACAGCAGTGGCCTGACTAATGAGCCCGAAATGCAGCCCTTCCCTGCCACACCCCCCCCCCAGGCAGCCCCTGTGTTGCATGTGGCATGTGGCACATCCGATTCCATTAGCGCAGACTTGCAAATTGCTGTAGCGGCTCCCTCCGCCATGTATTATGCAACGCACATTAAACAGGGGGCTCTGTTCCCCCCCCAAAAAAAATCATAAATATTAATTCCAAGCTAATGGCAAAAACTGTGAAATCAAATTAAAATGCATAATGCTGGGGGCATAAGCTGCAAAGCTGCCCCGAAAGCCCCCCAAAAGTTTTTCGTGCACTAAAATTAGTTTAGGAGGAAAAAAAGGGCTGGCGCCCCTGGGGGCTACAATTTTGATTAGTGCAAATGTGAATGTTGTTCCTGGCCGTTGCAGTTTGTTCACTCTGTGTGTGTGTGGTGTGGTGTGTCCTCCTATCGTGTGTCATTTAACCACTTTCCATGGCTAACAGTTCGCTGATTGTGGTGGTGCCGTTGGTCATCCGCAGCCACAGCCACAGCCACATACACTGTAAATATTCCATGCATTTAGCAAACTTTTCACTGCTCTTCCTATTATTATCAGACTCCTTTTTGTAGCCCTCGCAGTGCAGCACGGAACAGGATTAGCATTGGATGTTTGTACTCTAATGGAATGCAGCAAATGGCAGACTTTATGCCCTAAACTGCCATGGGTCAGAGGGTATCTAATCTTCGTGCTGTCAGGCTGCTTTGGTGTACTTTCTGTCATCAGTTGAATTTATTATTGCGTATGCCAACACACACTCGGATCGGAATGCAAACAGAGTGCCAGCGATGACAATGCTCATCATCATCGTCATCGACAGGGGGAATGAGAAATGAGAAATGAAAACAAATGTAACTACAAATCAGCCGAGTCAACAGGGGGAATAGGCGGCGCCACAATGTGTGTCATTAAATGCAATTACAGTCACGCCACCCCGCCACGCCCCCACACTAATACATGTATTATTTATACATACATTCCCCCTATCATATATACACCCTCCTCTCCTTCGCCTCCTCCTTGTACTCACTTGCAATGGCGGTGCATGTCCTCCGGTTCCTGTCGAAATGTCACCATTGGCGGCGCGTACGGCTGCTCCAGCTCCAGCACCCTCCTCGTGGGCGGCGGCTGCTGCTGCCACTTGTTGCGCCGCCGCTGCGGCAGATGCTGCCTTGGCCGCCGCATCCACTGTGAAAATGTGCCAGCAAAAAAGGGATTATAAATTGAATGAATTTTATGGAAATTTTCCGGCTTCCCTTTCCTGCTTTTTTTTTTTTTTCTGTATTTCGTTTGCAAAATTAAGTTATGAACGCGAAAAATAAACGCGAAATGCTTTTAAAAAACAGTTTCGCCTTAATGGAATATAATAAAAAAAAATGGAAAAATACATATAAATCATATTATAGAACAGAACGGCAAAGGGGGTGGCAAAGGGGAGTCAGCAGTGGGAGCAGTGGGTGGGAAAATTCTATGGAAATGGCTGAGCTGGGATCCAGGGATCCCTCAGCGCTGGGATCGTGCCGCACACTGCAGCAGCAGCAGCAGCACCAGCAGCGGCAGCAGCCGTGGGGGCAAAAGTCATTTGCATTTATAAATTGGCTTTTTGCAATTCATGAGCTAAAATGTCAGCCGGGCCAATTGGGGGTGGGGCAAGGATGGGAGGTACGTGTGTCTGTTGCTGTGTGGAGTGGGGAGTGCGCGGAGTGCGGAGTGCGCGGAGTGGGTGTGGTCCCACAGCAAAATGGCGACAAATGTCCTGGGCTCCTGTGCAAATGGTGCAGCTGTGCATGCAAATGTTCCCGCCAGGACCTCATTCACACAGGAAGCACGAGGCAGCACGAGGCAGCACGAGGCGGGCAGGCGGAAGTGGCCTGGCAGCAAATGCATAAACAGAATTATAATAAAATGAGTCCTTGGGGGGGTGGCTATGTCCCCTTTTGAAGAGGTGCATGGGGTTCGATGCTTGAGCAAAAATGGATACATTCTGCCATGAAATTGGATTGGAAATGCATTCATTAGGAGTGCCACTGCCACTGCCACTGGCAGGCATCTCCTGCATCTCCTGCACCGATGGCCAGTGCATAAAAAAGTTCCATTACACTTTCCAAAGGGGGCCGCTCCACTGGTGAAGAGCAAGCAGTTCGATACTCAGATAAAGTAAAGGAAAATCAACACTTTTAGCCATGAAATTGGAGTGGAATTTGCACTTTTGCTGGCGTAGGGGCGAATGCTCTTTCAGCAGCTACAGATACCCTGCCTTGAGGGACTCCATTCATTCACTAAGACAGGTGTTGCACTTGGTAAACCAATCCACTCGTTGTGGAAAGCCTTTTATTTGATGTGCTCTGGTATCCCGATTCTGCTGCATCAGGGGTACTCTCTCAGGCGGCCAAGACATTGCATTATGATGAAATCATGTGCTACGATGCTAATGATTGTAGGATGAGATGTATATCCCATTTATATCCCTGGTAGATTGTCTCTGAAGGCATAAATTCTAGGCTCTTGGGGGTTCGATTCCTTCGATTCTTTTGCTGGGCATTCCCACTTTCATTTCTGCATCTCTGGCGAACATTTCATCAGAATTGATATGCCCCATCACTCACACTGCCACAGACTCGCTCCCGCTCTCTGTGTCCCACTCTCCCGCTCTCTCTGTTTGCTGTAAAGTTTGTCGAGAATAAAAACCCTCAGCAAGCAGCAAGCAGCAGCAGCAGCTGCTGTGCGTTTGCGTTTGCGGAGCTCATTTGCATTTTTCATGGAGCAATGGAAACATGAGAACTCTGAAAGAAAAGCGGAATGGCAGGCAGGCAGGCAGGAAGGGAAGTTCTGTGCTCTGGCCATGTGCTGCGCTGCCGTAACATATGTGGCAGGCAAGCAGGCAAACGGAAACTCTAGCCACACATTCGCCACAGAAATTCAGAGACAGAGAGAGAGAGAGGTAAAGAAAGAGTTGTGTGTGGGGCACGACACTCACCTGAATTGGCGGTCATCAGTTTGTTGCTGGCTGCCGGTGTGCCCGCCGCCTGCGAGGGCTTCTTGTGGTGATGGTGGTGATGATGATGGTGATGCTTCTTCTTGTTCTTGATGATGATCTTGCGACGCAGGGCCGCCGGCGGCGGCAGGTCCATGTTCGGCTCCAAGGGATGCGAATCGAGCGGCTTATCCAGCAGCATATCGCCAAAGATTTCGCGGCAATAGTTGGCGATTTTTGCCTGTCAAAAAGAAAGGCGGGGGAAGGGGCAGAAGTTAAGTCTGTTAACTAACTGATAACTGGCAGTTAGCCTCGCGCTCCCAGTGCAGCCATTATGCAGCCCCACTGGCTGCTACTTGCAACATGCTGCCTGCTTCCTGCCTGCTATCTGCTGCCTGCTATCTGCTACCTGTAATATGTTGCGGCTTGTAAGTTTGCTTGCTGGCACGTGGCAGGACTCGTGGCTCGTGCCTGTGCCTCCCAGTGGGAAGTTTAGTTTATATTACTACTTTTAATGGTTAAAGTTTATCCGCAGCCCCACTATTCCCTGCCTCCTTGCCTTCTGCTCTCCACAGGGCCGTAAAAAGTTTGCCTTTGTTATTATCTCTCGAGTGTAGGGGCGCAGCAGGAGGCGTGGAGTGGAGTGGTGTGGAGTGGAGTGAAGCTTAAGCAGCGAGCAATTACCTTTCGAGTGGCTTCTGAGATTCGCTGCTGGCTGGCCCTGCTACCTGAAGTTGCCAGGACTCCCTCATGTGTGGCAAGGGGCCTTTTCCTACAGCTGTTTGTCTTACTGCCGAATGATGGATTAGGCTGATGAGTGACGAGGGACACGGGACACGAAGACGGTCAAACATTCACCCCCTCTCCCCCTTTGTTGCTGTTTGCTGTTGTTGTTGTTGTTTTAGGACAGGTAACTTTTCGCCTTTCACCTTTTCTTTGCAGGTTTTCTTCTCCGCTTCTGCTCTTAAATTAATTTTCTTTCTTTGATTTCCCTACTACCCCCCTACTTAGCTACCCCACTTGCCAACCTGCTTCCCTTGCTCACCTGCTGCCTGGGATTGCAGTGATTCTCAAAGCTCAGTATCACAGGGTATTCGGATGTCTTAAATGCACTCTCTGCGATGGCCTCCAGCACGTCCTTGGCAAAGATCTCGGGCACAAACGTGTAGCCGTGCACAATGACGGGCTCCTCGGTGCGTCCATTCCAAAAGTCGAGCTCCACGCATCTGCGGGGCAAAAAGCGTTTAAAGGGGGTGAAAAGGGGTTGGTAAAAGGGGGGGGGAAAGCTTTATTTAAGTGAGGTATAAAAGTAAATGACAATTTCCTTCACAGACACGCCCACATAAAAAGTGACAAGTGCAGCAGCAGCAGCAGCGGCAGCGGCAGAAGAGTAACAACTTCTGGCTGAATGAATTTTGTGATGTGTGTGCATCATCGCCATCAGCAGAAGAAGGAGGAGAAGGAGGAGTCGAAGGAGTGGGAGGAGCAGAGGGAGAAGGAGGAGTGGGAGTAGAAGGACTGGGAGTAGAAGGAGTGCGAGCAGCCATTTCCGTTCAAGCGGAAGTGGAAAACGCAGCGCGTGAAGAGTGCATCTGACACACACACACACACACACACACACACACACACACACACACACACACACACACACCCACACATGTCACAGAAAGCAAGACAGAAAGAGCGAGTGAGTGAGAGTGTTCCTCTCTTTCCCTCTTACTCCTTCTCTTTGTGTCTCCCTTTGAAGGTCAGGGCCAGCTGGACCAGCAACGGCATGCGTCAGAGCGGGTCAGGGAGTCAGGCGAGTCAGAGCGGGTCAGAGGGAGTCAGAGCGAGTCAGCAGGCGGCACTCACCTGCAGCCAGCGAGCAGGCACTGCCTGTATATCTCCACCGAGGACTTGCCCGTCAGCTGGTGTCCCGTGAGATAAGTGTTGTGCGACGAGTTGATGAAGTAATGCGACATCGGCTGATCCATGTCATCGCAGAGATCCAGTTTGTTGGGCGCCATTATGGGATTATCGTCGCCCATGAGGTACCTTTTTGTTTGCGGCAAGCAACGAGACGGAGAGAGAGAGAGGGAAAGCAAAAGGATTACAAATGGTAGGCACAAGAATGCTCTCAAACTACAAGTGGATGACATTTTTTGCACATGACAGCAACGGCAGGAAGGTCACAGCGAGTGTCCTTGCAGCAGCAGCAGCGTCATAAACTGCGCGTTAAAATCCCACTCAAAAGAGATGGAAAAACAGCAGCAGCAACAGCAACAGCAATGCACATGTGAAGGGGGGGATGCTGCTGCTGCTGCTGCTGCTGCTGAGTGGACCTTCAAGTGACTCGTGCAGCCGCTTGCGTCGCTGCCTGATAAGCTGTCACGCCCAGAAGCTGCGACTGTTTAGCCACTTGACTGTGCAACAAGTAAGCGACACCCACACCCACGACACACGACACACGACACGATGCTACGACACTCACCTCAAAAAGCCATCCAAGCTGAGTTGGCCCTTCTGGGCATTGAATTTATTCGGCTCGTACTGCTGGATGAGCTCCTTGGCTCGCGCTGGATTCGCATACGGATAGAGTATCTCGTTGAGGCGCGGATCGCGTTGCGTTTTGTTCAGAAACTCCACCAGCTGCGGTATGGACATGCATTTGCGCTTTGAGACGCCCACACTGCAAAAGGCAACAAATGAAATAATTTAATACATGGCAAGGGCAGAGCTATGGGCACTCGAGGACGCCAGGTCTCGAGGACTCCAGGACTCTACTTACATGCTGTCAAAGAGCACCTCAACTTCGGAGCGCTGCGTCAGATATTTGTAGAGATTGTAAAAGTCCTCAAATTGAAATTTGGACACCGATATGCTGTCGCCCTTGCCCGACGGCAGCCCGGTCACGTCCAGCGCTTTCTCGACACGTTTGCGATCCTCCTTGTTCTGGGCAAAAAGTTTAATGATGCTAAAGTGGTCACGACCACAGAAAAGCAGCAGCAGCAGCAGCAGCAGCAACAGCCAAAAGCAGCAACAGCCAAAAGCAGCAGCAGACAATGGCAGCCAATGGACACGTTGGTGGATGGGTGGATAGTAGTCGGTGATGCATGAGCCACGTTCCACACGGCGCAGGGCAGGGCAGGGCAGGGCAGAAGGAGACGGCGAGAAAGAAAAAAAAAAGGGAAAATTGCAAAATAGAAATTGGCGTAAATTTCAATTTTCAAGTCGATGGGCGCTGGCTCCTATAACAAATATTTGTCAAGTGCTTCAACGCACAGTGAACAAAAGGCCAGACCCCGGGAGCCAGGGACCCAAAACTTGGATTGGAGCCACACAGGCACAGGCCTTGGGTCCCTGGTACCGGGGTTGGGCGTGGACAATGGTCAATTACTTTTTCACTGGTATGCGGCCACTCTTGTCCACCTGCAGACACAGACGGGTGTGGGCCTTCTGCAGGAACATAATCGCCGAGCCGTTCAGCTGCGCCAGGCTGTAGGCCAGCTTGATGAGTCCGTCACACCAGAGCTGTGGGAGAGAGAAAAAGAGAGGGAGAAAGAGAAAAAGAAGAATGGTTGAAAAAGAGAATGCCAAATGGGAGTCAGTCAGAGCAGCGTCACAGCGTCATTCAATCAATGTGGAGTGGCAGCCAGAGGACAGATTAAATTGGAGTGGCAGCTGAAGGGTTAGGTCAAAGGTAGCGGTCCCAGCGGTTGTTGGGAGTGGCAAGCAAATGGAGTGAGAGTGCCGCAGAACCCTTTTCCGAAATGCTGCGACGCTGGATGCTGGATGTTTGCTCAAAGGCAGGTAGGCAGCTGACTGAGGCAGTGCCTGACTTTGACATTTATTTGTGAATTTGCAGAGACAAATACTGCTCAAATATGCTGTCAGCCACTGCGTATGCGTAATATTTGCTTGGGGAAAGTATATTACATTGGAAAAGGCAGAAATGTTGGCTGAAATCACATGGAAAGATAGTGTAATGCCCGAGGAATGCTTAGGAAATGTCATCATATGACTTTCGGTCATGGCAAAAGCTCTCGAAAGGCATTGTCATGCACTGCGTATGCGTAATATTTGCATACGGATATCATTTGCTGGCACTGTAAGTGCAATAAACGTGGGGCAACATTTGATTGCGTTGCACTGCAGAGGGCAGCGCTGCCAGTTGAGAGACCTCGCCATTAAATGCTGTGCTGTAATATTAGTTGGGAAACTATTCATTCTACCTCCACTGCTTTGTGCTGTGTGCAAATCAATGTTGCAAAATGCAGAATTATATTAAAGATAGAAAATCTAATCTAGCGCGGAGCTAAGTCTATTTAAAGATAACTCCAACTGGCATTAGGCAACGCGAATGTAACTTCAATGGTAAGGCAAGGCAGCCGCAAGGAATCAGTGTCTTTGGGGGGGCATTTATATTTAAGAAAATATTATGACAACATCGGACGCACCCCTGGACATTGATTAAACCCAAAAACTATAATGTTTTGGCTCATGCAAAAGGAATTTCCATATATATGTATAACGCCGCCTTGGGGCGTATGCGTGATATATGCCACGATTGGATGGACATCCACAGACACGGACACCAAGCCCCTCCCCTGCCACAACTATCGTCGTCGCGTCGCGTCGCGTTTCGTCTCGGCTTCCAATTTATGTGAATGGAATGGAATATCCAGCCAGCCATCCATATTTATGAGCAGCACGAGCCACGAGTAGCGAAAATGTTTATTTATTTGCTGTTCGATTATTTTTGCAGGCACCGCCAAAACAGAATTCCTTTTGAAAAGTTTATGAAAATTTTGGCATACAGTTTTTCGTTTTTCTGATTTTCTGTTTTTGTTTTTTTTTTGTTTTGTTTATTTCGAGAATGAGCGCGACGCGTGCCAAAAATAATAACCCCAACAATAGCACGCCTCACCATGTTTTTTTTTTTTTGGTGGTGTGGGGCGGCAGTCAATGCCAGCGTTCAGCTGACCATTGACCGCTGATAAAAGTATATATGGAACATTGATTTTGTGGCAAGGTCAAGCACAGGACAGGGCAGGACAGGACAGGGCACGGCAATCAATAAAAAAAAAAAGGAAAAGTCACTCGAAATAGCCACAAACAATGGGCACAGGGGGGAAGGGGGTGGCAAATCATTAACCCAATTCCCGCCACACAAATGACTTTCCCTTTCGATATTCTGTCTCAGTTGTCACCACACACACACAGACACACACACACACACACACACACAGACACAGAGGAGCCATCAAGCTGTCAGCGGCGTCTGTCAAGTGGCCAATAATGAGGCAGACACAGACACAGACACGCACCTCGTTGTACGTTGGGCTGAGTGCCTGGCAGCCAGCCAGCCAGCCGGATCTTACCTGTGCAATGTCCCGCCGGTTGCAGCAAAAGTTGACGAACGTCATATTGACAAAATCGGAGCCATGGCACACGGTCACCGTCTTCTCCTCGAGCGTGGTGTCCTGCGGTCCCATGGTCACAATCTGCCGCAGTTTGCCCTCCTGCAAAAGACAAGCAAACAAAAACGAAAGAAAAAAGAGAGGATGAGCATTATTAATTACGCACAAAAAAAAAGGGGCGAGGGAGAAGAGGGAGCTGGGAGAAGCGAGGCAGCAGCACGCGACAAATGAAGTTTTATGGGCAAGACGCAGTCGTAAATGGAAGTCATATCCCTTTGTGCGCTAATCCTGCGAGTGCAACAAAATTCATTTCGAACGGACTCGTAAACTGAGCAAACAGTCCCGCAAATAGCAGTAGTTACTTCTGGGGGGGGGAGGGAGAGGGCGAGCTGGCCCCATATTTCAATTAAACGGAACAAATGGATTTACGAGCCGAAGGGGCAGCCGCTCCTTCGAACTGGGTTAAATGCAAATTTAGCCACACAAAAAAAAAAAACAACAACAACAACAAACAAACAGACAACAATACAGCTAGAGTAATTCCGAGAGTCGGGGATTAGCAATGTCCCTTAGAATGCATGACACATATGTATGTGTGTGAGGGAAGTGCGGGGCACTTGCCATGAATTCGGCATTAGCTTTGTGGCATGCAGCGCCATGTCTTGAACATCCAGCATTATGAGGGTCTGTGTTTGCTCTGCGCTTCCTGCAACGCTTCCGTTTGCTGGACATTTGACAAACTGCCAGGCCAAAAGGGAAAGCGAGTCGAGAATAGCAAAAGTCACAGTCCCAGTCCCAGTCCCCCCCCCGCAAGGAGAAGCTGTGGCAAATGGCACATTTTGTGGCGCATAAATTCTCGTATCTGCGCACAGAAAAGCGCCCATAAATCACGTATCTGCCAGCTGGGACACAGGGACTCGGCCAGCACACCCACAATGCCCCACAGAGCACTCGCACTCAGTTGTGCAATTAAATGACTTAGACTCGGAGCGAATCACAGCACAGGTGCCCCATGCCCCATGCCCCGTGCCACATGGCCATGCAAATCGAGCCAATAATCGAGCTTTGCCTGACCAGCTCCCCCCTAGTTCTCTGTGCTGCATCTCAGCTTACGGCTCGCACTGCCAGATGGCTGATGAGTAGTATGGAGGAGGAGGGAGCAACCGAGTCGACTAATTGAAAGGCTTCCTTGCTCCTCACTCAACGGGCATTTGGGGGGCCATTAAAGCGCCATTCTGTTTAGTGCTGATAAACGGGGAAGGCCAGGCTAGCAGGATGCGATGCCAGCCAGGCACACCTGCACGAAAGGAGTTCCGTGAGGGTGTGGAGCGAGGGGCAGAGCTGGCAACGTTTATCTGGGCGCGTCATGATTTGCTTTTAACTAAAAACTAATTCCGGCAAATTTGTCGCTGTGAATAATGTAAATGGCGGCGACGGGCACTGGGCACGGGCCAGGGGCCAGGAGCCCGGGGAACGGTCTGCTCTGCCTGCTCCTGGCACGAGTTCGCTGTCGTGCCGTGGAAAGCGTAAAGCGGAAATGACTCTACGGTGATTATCTTAATTGCTTCTCACGCTTTGCCCTCGACATTCACGCGCCGCCCTCGCTCTCGCTCTCCTCGCTGCCTGCTCCTCTCTGGCTGCTGCTGGCCCTGATAATCCTTTTGGCTCTGCTCGAAATTTGAATTTTAAGAACGCTCATTATGTAACCCAAACAGCGGCAGGGGGGAAAGCTAGGGGGGGGGGCAGTGTAGCCAGGTAGCCAGGTAGCCAGGGAAGGCCATGTCTGTGTTAATTTTAGACAGCCTCCCAAATCCCAACATTGGCGAAGAGAGTTATTGATTTTAAAAGGTGCTAATAAAATGCGGATACATCGCTCTCTCCCACTCTCTCTGTTACGGGGAAATACAGCAGCAAAATAGATATTTAGGGCAGAAACTATAGCAATAACGGAATGTTTAAATAAACCAATTTGTTGGCATTGTTTTTTTTTGCAAAATAAGGGAATTAATTATAGTTGTTCCAGGGCAGGCAGCGCTAACAGGGCAGGCAGCGCTAACAGGACAGGCAGCGCTAACAGAGCAGCAGCGTAACAGCCTGTAGCCGCTCTCCGCTAACAGTCCAAAACAGTCCAGCTCTGTTAGCGCTCTCACGATCCACCATCAAGCTTTTGTAAGCTTTAGCTTGTAAGCTAGAACTTACTCTCTCTCGTTTGCATTGAAGCACCGCGCGACTTGTTTTTTCTGGTGGCTTATCTTTGTAGTCTGCAGGCGGGAGCTCCGACAAACGAAAGTAACTGCAAGTCTTCTGTGGCGCAATCCATGGCGTTTGTTTTAGAGATTCATTAAATTCGAATGATGCAGCGGATCATTTGAGAGCAGCTAACTCTCACTCTCTCACTCTCATTCTTTTTCCTTTATTCTTTAACCGCAAATGTAATAGAACTTTCAACTCAATGAACCGATTACTGGGTAAGTACTGGGTAATGTCCCCTAATAATTTAGTATCTCTAACCGATATTCCCATGGTACCCTGAATATATACATATAACTTATATATAACATTATTGTTACTCCCGGTATTATGCAATAAAAACAAAATTAGCATGGAAAATGCTCAGACTATTGGCACTCCCCCACCCCCCTTCACATATTTCATCGTGTGAACAAATTTACCCTGTGGAAAAATAATCAGTTGGCAGAAACTTAGTTTGCTTTTATCGAATTGTTAAAACGGTAAAAATACTGCCCAATCAAATTTCTAGCATACAAAATTAGTCAGTAGGTGAAATATATATATATATAAGGAGCGCGATGAGTGGCGCTGACAAGCGATGGAAGCGCCTAGCGCAGGAGCGGAGGAGCAGAGGCAGCCAGGGGTTCGAAGAACTGGACACGTGGACACCGCCCAAGCCCAGCGAGGTGATGCGGCGGCAGAACTGCAAGACGGCCAATTTCCAAAAGGGCGAAACGTATCCGAGCATCCGTCCGCCGAAGTCGAGGTGCAGCCGGGCCCAGACCATCGCCTGGCTGGCAGACTCGATCGAGGCTGATGGCTGCGAACGGCGCCATGACATGAGCAACGACGATATCCTCAAAATGTGGCACCAGAGCCCCCACAAGAACACTTTGGGCTACTACGGCGTGGAGTCGCGCGAGCCGCAGCCGGAGGCGGCGCTCTTCAATCGGCAGGTGAGGAAGAGCCTCGCCATGGCCAACAGCCGCGAGCGGCGCAGGAAACAGTTGGGGGGAGTTCAGGGACCAAGGACGCTGCCGAGCGTTGGCACGCCAAAGACTGCGTCATCGGCAGCGGCCTGCCGGCCGTTCGTGCTCAATCGCGAGGCCATCAGAACGGAGATTGAGAAGATGCCGACCGTGAAGCGGAAGCTGTCGCCTAACCACGCCATCACGACGGTGTACTGCAACAAGCCGCCGGATCCCGGCGATCCATTTGGCGTCAGCCAGGAGCAGCAGCAGCAGCAGCCCGAAGTGGCCAAGGAGCAAGCGCCGCAAAGGAAGAAGCGCGCCCCGCGGCGCCGCAACTTTCCGTACTGCGGCTGGGCGATCAATCAGCCGCAGAGTGAGTGCACGGAGTACGAGCGGCAGAAGAACAAGCACGACAAACAATTAAACGAAGCCTGCGACGAGGCCTTCCAACGGGAGCAGGAGCCCGAGCCGCGGAACTACGACGAGCTGTTCTCCCGCCTGGTCACCTGCTTCGAGACCCTTCCGCTGGAGGACCCCCTGTGCAAGGACTACGCCGAGTGCTGCCTTCCGAAAAGACGCGAGGACGATGCTCCCGGGGCACCTGGTGCCACTGATGACCAGGGCGATGGCGGGGCCCCACAGCCGGGAGATAGATATAGGCCAGGAGACAAGCCCAAAGGTGGCCACAGGCCCGGATATGGTGATAGGCCGCCAGGAGATGCAGGCAAGCCGGAAGATGGAGAAAAAACCGGAGATGGTGACAAGCCCGGAAGAACGCCCTGGGATGGCGGCAAAAAAAGGGACGGAGGAGGGCCAGGAGACGGAGGAAAGCCAGGAGATGGCGGAGGAAAGCCAGGAGATGGCGGAGGAAAGCCTGGAGATGGGGGAGGAAAGCCTGGTGATGGCGGAGGAAAGCCTGGAGATGGGGGAGGAAAGCCCGGTGGTGGCGGAGGAAAGCCAGGAGATGGGGGAGGAAAGCCCGGTGGTGGCGGAGGAAAGCCAGGAGATGGGGGAGGAAAGCCCGGTGGTGGCGGAGGAAAGCCAGGAGATGGGGGAGGAAAGCCCGGTGGTGGCCCTGGTCCAGGCGGTAAGCCGGGCGTAGGCTTTGGGGACAAGGGAAAGTGCGACCCGAACGATCCAAATTGTGTGCCCGAGAAACAAAAGAAAGGAAAGTGTGACCCAAGCGATCCAAACTGCAACAAAAAGAAACCCAAGTGTGACCCCAACGATCCGAATTGTGGCAAGAAGCCAAAGAAACCCAAGTGCGACCCCAACGATCCGAAATGTGCGGAAGAGTGCGACCCCAACGATCCAGAGTGTGTCCCAAAAAAGAAGGGCAAGAAGGAGAAGCACCCAAAGGGAAAGCTCGTCCCAGAAAGGCCCTCGGAAGAACCCGAGAAGCCAACGAAACCGCCCAAACGGCCCACGGAGGCAGACCCAGAGCCTGCGCCGGAGGAGGAAACCGGATCAGTATCCGATATGCCGAAAAAACCAGACGAGAAAAAGGAGAAGGAAAAAGATACAAGGCCACCGGAGGATCCGGATGCGCCCAAGAAACCGGAGAAGGAAAAACCCGTCAAGCGACCGAAGGAACCGATCGAGAAACTACCCAAGCGACCCATGGAGAAGGAGCCGGACCCCAAGCCAAAGCCAAAGCTGGAGCCAGAGTGTGATCCAAATGATCCAGATTGTGGGCACAAGAAACCAGAGTGTGACCCCAACGATCCAACGTGTGTGCCAGTGTGTGACCCAAACGATCCGAACTGTGACCCAAAGCGGCCAGTGTGTCCCCCCAACGATCCGTTGTGCAGCGTGTTCGAAGATCCTGGCTACCCAGGAGAGGTGCCACCCCTTGCGCCAGGCGCAGAAGAACCACCAGGGCCGCCGGACAGCCAACAGCCGGGCATGGAGGATCATGGACCGCCCGGCGGGGATGGCGATGAGGGTGGAGGGCCACCCGAGCCGCCGCAGGAAGAGGGTAAGCCGGAGAAGGAAAAGTGCCCGCCGTGTCCCTGCGAAATGTGCGAATTCCTGCGGCGCCACAAGCAACCTGACACCCCGATGATGCGCAAATTGAAGCGCCAGGACAAGCTGCGCCAGCTGCGCGAATACTACAAGCGGATGTGCCACCGCCAGTATATGGAGTGCCGCGCGCCCGAGTACCGTGCCCCACAGCACCGCTGCGATCCGATTGTGAGCGACAACGCCTTCTGTCGCAATCCGCAGTTTGGGGAGTACTGCGAGTGCCTCAAGGCAATGCAGGACCTGCAGCAGCTGCTTGGCAAGAAGCACAAAATCGTCGGCAACCAGCTGCTGTTCGACCTGGAGGACCTGAAGAGTCGCCTCTGCAAGCGCATGTGTGACTGTATCTAGACTTGCATGCATGCAAGTGTGTCCCATGATAATGTCTAACATCTATAGTAAATCGTAGCAGAGTGTGCCAAGTGTACTCGAAATGCATCATGTTTGGAATACGCATCTGCGGATTATTATTATTATTTTGCATTATGTGTTTTGTTAGGAGCAATAATTGTACCATCGTGTAGACACCCAGCCGAAGCTTGTCGAGGCTAAAAAGTATTTTAAAAAACTATCGAGGTGGTTTTCCTACATTTAGGCAAATAAATAATAAGTAAAATAAATAAATAAAACAAATAATATCTGTCCTGTTTCTAATTAGAGCAAATTTTCTGCCAAAGACTCTCTGGTACTTTTTCCCTAATTATAATTATTGGTTATTTCTAATCAAAATATATGCATGAATAATTATAAATTATAATATATAATATAATTATTATATAATTATAATAACTATAAATTATAGTTATAAATAAATTGGAATACATTTTTTAAAGTTTTTCCCTTTAAATCAGCTGTTGTTTTGGTGATGGAACTTGTAACATCGATAGACTGTCAATGTTTCAACGGTAAACTATCGGAATCCAAAATTGTCAAAAATTATACTTAGAACAAAAAAACGCAGAGAAGTCTAACGAAGAAATGAGAGAACAACCTGCTTGTGCCTGGCGACTGTTGCCTCTATTGAAAGTTTATAACTTTAATTTAAATTTGATCCTTGATTCGATATTTTGAACATAGTTACATTCGATAGTTGGGGGCGATGTATATTTATATCGATGAAAAACGAGAGAACGAAGAACAAAACGAGAAGAGTAACGAACAACCAATTTCGCGATCCATCGGTTTGCTATTTTTCCCTCTTCTGCACAGATCCCAATTTATTTAATTTTATTTATTTTTGCCCCGATACAAAGTGCCCCTTACTTTGCACTCTGTCGGGGATGACATTTCGATGACATTTCGCTTTGTGTGGTTGGGGGGGAATCAGTTCAGAGTTGTGTGCTCAGCCCACAACACCAAAATTTTCAGAGAAAGTGTAACTTTTTTTGGTTCTTATGTTCCCGTGTATAAAACGATATAAAAAGTAGTTTGTTTATTTTGGACCCGAATCGGCTCTAAGCAGGATACATTCCACACATTCCACTCGGGCAGATAAAATGGCAAAGGATAGGAGCGGGGCCCAAAAGGTGGAGGGGCCGCCGCCGATATATGCCGGCTGCATGCCCCTGGAGGAGGTCACCATATACGACTGGATGCGACAGCAGAACTGCAAGACGACGAGATACCAGCACGCGGAGGTGTATCCCAATATCCGGCCGCCCATTTCGCGGTGCGACAAGCAGAAGACGGTGCAATGGATGTCGGAGTCGCTGGAGGCCACCGGCTGTGCGCGCATCGTCGACACGCAGACGGACAATGTGCTGGACGCGTGGACGAACAGCCCCAACAAGGAGACGCTCGGCTGGTACGGCCTCGGCGGCGGCATTCTGCATCCCGAGGCGGTGCTCTTCAATCAGGCCTTGGAAAAGAGCCTGCAGGCGGCCAGCGGCGTGAAGCCCAAGCCGCCGAAGCAGCCAAAGCAGCAGAGGGACACCAAGCAGCCGAGCGGCGCCTATGTGCTGAACCGTCAGTGCCTCCGGTCGCAGCTGGACAGGATGCCCACCGTCAAGCGGAAGCTGGCGCCCAGCTATGCGTTCACGTGGCTGCACTGCCCGCCGCCGGATCCCCGGCGCCCGCCATTCGAGGACACGCGCGGCCCTCCGATTCCGCTGACCAGCGCCCTGGGCATGGAGCGGACGCCCACGAAGCACAAGCAGAAGCTGCGGCATCCCATGTGCAACATGGACTGCGATCAGCCGAAGAACCTGTGCACGGACTACGAGTGGAAGAAGTACAAGGAGGATCCGCGGCCGTACGACGAGGCCTTCAGGCGCGAGCAGGAGGCGGCACAGCCATCGACGGAGGAGGAGCCCAAGGACTATGACGAGCTGTACGCGCGGATGTTGCGCTGCTTCGAGCAGAGTCCCGAGCAGAACCAGATCTGCCAGGAGTTCGAGAAGTGCTGCAAGGCGCCGGGCGATCCACCCACCCAGGGATGCGGCGAAATGGTGCCCGAAGGAGCAGACGGCGGTGCCGGGGGTAAGTCTGACGGAGATGGCGGCGCCGGCGGCGGCGGTAAAGATGGCAAGGATGGTGATGGCAAGGATGGAGATGGAGAGGGTGGCGATAGGGGGAGCAGAAGGGAGCAGGTCAAGAGGAGAACCCGTGGCGATGGGAAGTACGGCGACGGGAAGGATGGAGACGGAAAGGGTGACGGAGATGGCGATGGAAAAGGTGGCGATGGCAGGGGCGGAAAGGGGGGCAGAAAGGATGGCAAAGACGGCCAGGGAGGAGATGGCAAGGGAGGGGATGGAAAAGATGGCGATGGCAAGGGCGGCAAGGGAGGGGATGGAAAAGATGGCGATGGCAAGGGCGGCAAGGGAGGGGACGGCAAGGACGGCAAGGACGGCAGGGACGGCAAGGACGGCAAGGATGGGAAGGGTGGCAAGGGCGGCAAGGGCGGCAAGGGCGGCAAGGGCGACGGCGACGACGGATTGGACAAGCACAAGGGCAAGGGCGGCAGGGGTGGCGACGGCAAGCATCTGGATGACGATGGCACTGGCGGCCATGACTACAGACGCAACTTTGGGGACGATGACAGCGACGGCGAAGGCGGCAGAGGGAGGAAGGATGGGCGCCGTTCCACCAGGGAAAGATCGACGCTCGATAGCCACGGATCTCGTCACGGGCACAGGGGGACCGGGGATGGACACGAAGGCCGTGGAACGATCGGCCAAGATGGTCATGGGGATGGCGATGGAGCGGACGGCAAGGATAAGGGCGATGGCAAGGACAAGGACAAGGACAAGAAGGGCGGCAAAAAGGGCAAGAAGAAGCGCGGTGGCGATGGCGACGGCGGCAACAAGGGCGACGGCCGGGACGTCGTCAAGGACTGCCCCTGCGAGCTGTGCAACTACTGTGACAAGGAGCCGGACACGCCGCTCATCCGCGAGATGCGGCGTCGCGATGTGCAGCGCCAGCAGCGGGAATACCTGCAGCTGATGCGCCACCGCCAGTATGTCAACTGCCGCGTCGCCGAGTACCTTGCCCCACAGCGCAAATGCGATCCGATTGTCTGCTGCGATCGCTTCTGCCACAATCCCCGGCTGCAGGAGCACCTGGCCAAGGTCGATGCGGTGCAGCAGCTGCAGCAGCAGCTGAGGCGCTGCAAGTACAAGAATCGCGCTTCCTACACGTCCATCCACAGGCGTCTGGAGAAGCTGAAGCAGCGTCTATGCCAAGCCTTCGAAATGCCAGAGAAATGTTAAGCAAAAGGCGTTGGCGTTCCCTTCACTCTCGCGATTCACGCTGGCTATGCCTGTCCTTTCATGGCTCCAGTTCTCGGGGCAGGAGAGTTTGCCAGGCAGCGGACCAGGCAGCTATCAATGGATTGTATCTCTTTACCCTTATCTTCCTGGCGTTGCTTTCAATCAGCCTGTGATCTGATCTGTATTGTGATCTTTGTAATGATCTGATTAACTTTAAAGTGCCTTGGAATAATTTTAACGACAAGATATTTTCTTACATTTCTTGCTGGTTTTTTCTTTTCTTTTGTGAATATTCCCCTCAAATAGGGTAGGGTTCCCTATCCCTGTCTGGCTTCCAATAATTATTCACCTCTCTAGTGTTTCCGTAAGCGTTTTCCATTTCAATTTTTCATTTCCTTCAATCATTTTTCGCCACTGGGCGAAGGGCGAAGGGTGGAAGGGCGGAAGGGTAAGCTCTTTTTAATAAACCTCACAGTTCATTTTTTTTCGTTTTCGTTTTTCGTTTTGCATTTTTTAATTAATGCACATTTTGCACTCACTCCCGCTGCCACACTTCGCACCCGCTCTCACTCTCTCTCGCTCTCTTTCTCCCTCTCTCCCACTTGCCACACTTGTTGGCTGTTCCCTGGACCTTCTTGCTGCGCCTCGCTGCATGCAACACTCACTTTTATTGCAACTTTTTCGAGTTAATCACATATTTGCTGGCGTCCACTGGTGTCGTGTCTGCTGTTTTTTCAAGCGTATGTGTCAGTGGTGTCTCGTGTGTGTGTGTGTGTGTGTGTGCGTTTGGGCGTGGCCAACGCCCACGCGCTCTGCTCTGTGCATTTAATTAATGCAACAATTTCTCTCTCTCCCCTGGCTGTCGCTCCTTTGGTTCTGTTTTGCTTCTCCGTTTGCTCCAAGCAAACACAAACACAAACACGAAAAACAAAACTCATTTGACTGTGGCCTTGGTGGGTCTCCGCTATGCTCTGTCGCTTGCTACAACGCCACAAAACTGCAACTATTATCAGGGCAGTGGGCGTGGCTCTAGGCTCTGTGCGGACTGTGTGACAGCCGCGTTGATTTATGCAGCGGACAATGCGCGGCCGGCAAGCCTCACCTTACTTCAAGTGGGGAAACGGCCAAGGAAATGAAGGAAAGCCAGGTGGTGCCTCAAGGATTTATTTACACCCCCCCCACCCACTCTAGGGCTCCTTGAGCGAACGAATAATTGCCCCACATTTATGGAAAACCTAATTCAATAATGGAATTGCGACCTTAGACACGATTTCCAATGACTTTTTTCTGGTCCAAGGAGCATCTGCGTCTCCTTCTCCGCCTCCTGCTGCTGCTGCTGCTGCTTACATAAAACGCTTTTCCCCACACACACACACACACACACGGGCAGGGAAATTCAATGGAAATGGAAGCATGTTGCCTTGTCATTGCCATGATAAATGTATTGGTTACACACACACACACACGCACAGAGACAGCGCCAGAGCCACGACACGCCATGAAAAAGAAAATTCTGTAAAACGGAAAAAATCGTGCATAGAAAAAAGAAAGAGTGGGTGGAGTGTGGTGTGGTGTGGGTTGGAAAAATTCTGTGGGAAACTGGGACTACGGAAAAACTGTTGCAGCACAGAACCGGGACACACACACACACACACACACACACACACACACACACACACATCCGTGTGCTCTGCCTGAAAATGGAAATCCGGACGCACGTGACATGGCTGCGCAAAAACTAAGCGAAAGATTCAGCCAACTGGGAGGAGCAGCAGGATTACCTGCACTAACCCTCACCTTAGCCTCACCCTTCCGCCCCTCTGCAGCAGCATGTGTATCTTGGGCCCTGGCTCCAAGGAAATCTGTTCGCCTTTCAGCCCGTAATTGGCTTTCAATTGCTGGCCCAGGCATTTTATTAGCTCGTAATCTACAAAAGATATACACGCGCCATCGCCCCATCATCAGCGCCCTCTAAAATCCACTGAGATTTTGGGGAGCGGGCATCATGCAGATGCTGCATTCAACGCCAAAGCCATGCCGCCGCCGCCGCCGCCGCCAAATCGCCGTCAACAATATAATTAATGTTTTGAAAAATTTGTCTATAAACAAGCAAAGGCATCAGAGACCACAAAAATATACAAACTATTAACGGGGGGATTGCGAGAGATGCGATATGAGCGAAGACGCTGGTTGTATGCCCTTTAAGATTATTCACTGCATTTTTAGACTAGAAATTCAATATTTTTCTTGGCACACAATTAAATTTGTGGAATAAACCTGGAGGCTAGAAATTGATGACTGAAAAGGGGGTTATATTTAAGCTTTGATAATTTCTTGAAATTCCTTTTTAAAAACGAACATTATTACATATTTCTCTAGGGCACTCTTTCCTAGTGTGACTCTCTCCTAGTCGATGGGAAAAATGTTTGAATTTATTGAATTGAAAGTAGCCAAAACTTCAGCTATCAACGAGATTAAATGGAGCTTCATTTTGGTCGTCAGATAATGCAGATAATAAGAGATAATTGTTATGAAACCCACACTCAAAAACGGAAAAGATTACTTAAATTTGATGTCCAACAAATTAATTATTTCCCACTAAAATTCGCATAAAAAAGTACCGAGCTGACTGCATCAATAATGTTTCAAATTGGTCTGCGAAATGGGAGGGCAACTGTAAACTTCAGTATTTGTTTTAATTTGGAATTGTAAAAATATTTAACTTTTAAATCAGACTAAAAATATATCCGCAAAAAGTAGTAAAATATTTGCGTTAGAAAATTTCCAAAATGCGCAAAATATTAACAAGAGAATGAGAGTGAAAATTAAGTGCTTAAAGTCGACATTCAGGCAGGTAAAGAAATGTGGTTTAATGTGGCGTTTCACTCACCATAAAACTCACAGGAGGGGAAACTATTTTCTTTAGTACTCGAATTTTTGAGCTTGCAACAAGAGAGAATTTCTAAAATTCAGGATTAAATTTCAAGGTGTTTTTATGCACCGAAAATGTCCAGCCAAAGGCGAGTGCTAGTGTGCCACATTTTGTGTTGCCTCTGATATGGTTTTGGTGCTACCATTGAATATACGATTAGATGTATCCCATCAGAGGGGTGGACCGGGGGCTGAGGCAAGTCCCTGCGGAGAACTCATCATGTTCCACCTCCGGCGTGCAGGAGTATGGGGTACGCAGGACTCATGGACTCGCCACATAGTCGATTACCCGTCTCTACACATCATGAAAAAGTTAGAACATCCTTGCAGCCAGCGTAACAGGGCACACACAATGTGTGCACACTCCTCCCTCCATTACATCCTCCTGCCGCTCCGCTGCCACTTTCTATTGTGTGTGTGAAAACCAGACAAATATATTTCTTTATTCTCCCCCACAGCCTGTGCGTGTGCCTGTACTTGCGAGTGAGGAAGCACGGAAGAAATGAAGGAAGAAAGGAAGGAAAGGAAGGAAGGAAGTCCCCCAGGCGTTACGTATACGCACCTTTGGCTTCTTGGCATACTGTCCCGTGCGCACATCCCGTATGGTGGCTATATCCAGAATGTCCAGCTCGTTGTTCTGATCCACCCAATAGAGGAAGAAGCCCTTGGCATCCACGCGCATCGTTACGGGCAGGCCAGTGCCCGAGTCCTGCAACGAAATGAGGAAGAGCAAATCCAAAAAGATGATTAATTGATAATTAACAAAAAACACACACTAAACATACAAAAATATCAACCCCCGATTCGGGTCCAAAATAAAGATACAAACAAGCAAAAAAAACAAACACAAACACACGCATGAGTCCATTTGGTTCATTGAACTGCGGACGCGGACGGTTGCAGCGGGGGGGGCTGTGGCTAATGAATTTATTCTGGCCAATTTCTCATCCGAATGGCCCGCAAATCGTACAGGGCAGGGCAGGGCGGACAGTCCCCAAGTGCAGCCCCCCGCCCCAGCCCCATCGTCCATCGTCTGTCATCTGCTTATATCTGCTTATTATTTAAGTCAAATTAAATGGGCCTCCGCCATGGGCTGGCCATAAATATTTAAGCATTCATTCATTCATAAAAACCAAAGAAAAAGAATGCGAATATGCGAAAATTCTTTGCTGGCTGCCCCCACTCCTGTCTCCTGTGTGGCAATGCCAAACAGATGTGCCCCACCAACCCACCCGGACGGAGAGCCGTGGAATATTTCGAGCCAAAAAGTGAAATATTTTACTCGTATTTTTTAAATATTCATGCAAATAAGCAGAGATCACAGATTGTGCTGTGAGTCACAAAATATGTCTCTTCCGCTTCGCGGGATACCCTAGACGAGAGAAGGTAGAATTCGAGAGGTTTGAATAGAGCCACAAAGCTACAAAATGTATCTATATATATAGAGTATATATACCCTTTAGGTGGACAATTAGAATGGAACACATGGCTGATGCATCAGAGTGCAAAAGAGAACGTCAAGTGGGTGTGGAGATCAGGCAACGTTTAATTTAAACGCAGAGAATGAGACTTAAAGCTCTTCCCCCAGTTGCACTTTTCTTTGGTGAATGCAGTCTACAATTCATAAATATATTCCAAAGCTCTCATAGGATTTATTTTTCTGCCAAAATTGCAAATAATTCTCCAACAAAGAGTATCAGAGGGGCTGAGCTGTTTATCGTTGCTCGATTCGTAATTTTAAGCTACATCTCCCATGAGATCGCGCTGTTTCTATAGATACTTGAACCAAAGCACACATTATCAGTCCACATTAAAGATCGATCTTGAAGTGTCTCCAAATGTCTTTCACCCCCAAAATCTACCCTTTATTTCGCCTGCTTCGCTGCACTTTCTATTTTCTTGGAGGCGACTGGAAGAACGCGTTAAATGGTGCGGCGCTTTGATGAATGTTTATCCAGACAGTGAGTGCTGGTGGAGGGGGAGGGACAGCAGCAAGACACACACACAAAAAGTCAGATAGAATAACCTGCAACAAAAGCGCGACGGATGGCTGGCTGGATGGATGGATGGCTGGCTGGATGGATGGCTAGATGGATGTCTGTACAGCAAAGTGGGTGGCCTGGTCACGCAAGTCACCTCCAGCACAGAGCACGGAGCACAGAGGCCAGCAAAGTATCTCTGGGTGAAGTGGCTCCTTTGTGGCATGCCTTGACCTCCCCAAGGATTGGCCGCCATTAAGATTAGGGGGCGAATATTTCGGTTATTATGGCCAAAAATTGATGAGCAAATGAAAATACTCCCTCCTCCCTGCTCCCTGCTCCCCTCCTCGTTCTTTAATTTGCAGGGTTCATTATCCCTTTTCTCTGGCGGGAGAATTGTATTTTCGGCGGGGTTTAATGAACTCTCCTGCGCTGCTGCTAGGTGCCAAAGTGGAAAGCACTTGCCCTGCCCCCCCCCCACTTGCCCAGTTGCTCAGCTATAGGAATAATTGAAATTGAAAACATTCACTCGGATTCAATGGCCCAAGAGGTGGCAGGGGTGGCAGGGGGTGGCAGTGGGTGGCAGGGGTGGCAGGGGGTGGCAGGAGGTAGATGGGCAGCGATTTTCAATTAGTCGCATATTTTCGGGGGATTTTCGTGGTGTGCAAAAAAGGGTTGAGTTTGCTTCGCTTCGCTTCGGTTCGGTTTGTTGGTTCATCGTCCATCGCTAATTGGAATCCCCATTGGAGTTTTGTCCTGCATGGCGCTGCTCCACCGTTTCTCCTCTTTTCCCTTTTCCCTGTTTGTCTAATTACGGGAAGCTGCTTGGAAAAGCACTCGATGGGGTGGGGGGGAGTGGGAGTGGTGGAAAAACTTTGTTAATTCGATTTCAATATGCAAGATTCTGTGGAAATTCAATAAATGCTGTGCGACGGCGACGGCGACTGCCACTTGACACAATTTTGCCTAAAAATATTAAAAGCAAAAGCAGCAGCCAGCAATCTTTGGCTGTATCTGTATCTGTATGTGTGTGTATCTGTGTGTCTGTGTGTCTGTATTGGGTGTGCGCGTTTAGGATAAAAGAGATTGCATGCATAATTCAATTGGTGTAACAGTTGGATATCACTTCGCCTGTCAAAGGACTCCGCACACAGAGCGAAGAGCGAAGGCAAAGGACAGCTGTGTCACAGCTACAGATACAGCTACAGCTACCCATACAGATACAGCTACCCATACAGCTACAGATATGTATGTGTGCTGGCACATCTGCTGGTGACGATTGTCACACACCATTTCCACATTCTATTGTCAATCATGCTTAGGAATCGACGACGCTCCTAAAAGGGTTGCCAGGCAGCCAGGCAGCCAGAGCAGCCCTACCCCCACCCTGACTGTGCCCCAAGTGCATTAGGTGGGTGGGGTTGGTGCCCCAGCAGTATGCAAATGTGGAAACTATCAAAATGCGGGGCTGGCATAAGCAGCTGCTTGGCTGTGCAAAAACTACATGCAAATTATATCATAAAATATGTAGCCCATCCATCGGCACCTGAGCCAAAGTTTTGCCCCAACTTTTGGCTGCTCTTGAAGTTTCAGCAGAGCAGCAGCAGCAGCAGATGGGTTGGGGTTGGGGTGTGTGGGTGGTATGTGTGAGTTTGGGGACTCAGCCATCATTCCAAGTCAGCCACTCACTCGTCAAACTCTGTCGCGCTGCTGGAGGCCAGCTCAGAGCTCAGAACTGAATGAGAAGATTGATGCGCCCAGTGAGCAGAGCAGCAGCTGGAGACCTTTGCCTTTGCCTTTGCCCTATGCCGCGTGTATCTGCTGCCTCTTGCCTCTTGTATCTGCTGCCGTTTGCCTCTTGTATCTGCTGCTGCTCTCTCGACCTTGATTAGCAGCTGTGCTTACCCATATCGGATCGTGAATCGTGAATCGCTTGATCGGTGATCGCCTGCGATCGCTAATCGTAAGTATTTATTAGATCGGGCCACTTATAGGGCCCATAAAAATACAGTATACGCTCCCCGATTAGATACGGAAATAGTCACAGTCTTTACGCAGACTTTGGTGTATTACGCAAAAAGATCTATTCGATGGGGCCGCTGCTCAGTTGAGTTGATGGTAGGCGGCTATGGTGGCATAGATCCAGCCCACATACGACGAGACGGCGGTGTAAACCGTCGGCCGGTTGGCATAGCCGCAGGGCATGTAGCTCCAGGAGCCGAGGGCCACCAGCTCCGCGGGCCCGTCGATGGGCCAGTAGACGAGCGGAGTGCCACCGTCGCCGTAGCAGGTCTTCACCGTGGAGCACACCTGTTTGTCCGTCAGCGGAGCATCCGCTGGCAGCAGCAATGCACACTGCGCGTTCTCCAGCAGTGGGGCAAAGGCGTACTGCAGCTGCTTGGAGAACTCATCCGCCTCGACGTCCGTGAGACCCCAGCCATAGGCGGTGACCAGCTTGCCCGCGTAATCCTCATCGGGATCGGGCAGCGAAATCTGCTGGACGCGAGCGGAGTACACAAACGGCTCAGAGACGTGCAGCAGGGCAATGTTGTCGCTGCCGGCGTTGCCATTGAAGGAGCGATGAACGGAGGCAAAGTCCACGTGGCGCACCTGAGCGGCGGTCACGTTGGAGCGGTTGCTCACGCCCGCATAGATGGGCGTGCCGAGGACGTCCCCATTGAAGGTGCGCACTCCCTCCACGCAGTGGCCGGCCGTCACTATCCAGGACTTGGCGATGAGCACTCCCCCGCACTGATGCGCGTAGGTGGCCTTCGTGAGGCTCAGGGACACCAAGTAGGGCACATTGTCCACTCCCTGGACATCGTAGCCATCGAGGATCAGTGGCGAGATCTCCACTGGGGACTCCACTGCGGCATCCCCTGCTGGCAGGTGCGGTGCGGCAATGAGGCGGCGCCAGCGAGTGCCACAAGCGGCAGCAGAACGAACAGCGAAAGCATTTTACGAAACTGTTTTTGTGGTGCGATTACACGATGGCAACCGCGATAGGTCTAAACGGTTTGCGGTCGAGTGACGAGGATTTTATAGTGCGCGGATCAGAGAGCTTTCGAGAGAGAGAGAGAGAGAAATTCCCACACGAATTGCAGGTACTCTGGGGAACTGGGGAAATAGTTCTGGAAGTGAATTGTGTTTGTGGTGGAGGGTCTTTGTTGCTCTTTTATTTATTTACAGTCAGTCATTTTGGTTTCCATTAAAGTGATTTTGTTTTAAGGATATTCAATGGACATTCAGAATTAAATGTTCAGGCATTTACCAAAGATTTCATTTGAGGATTTCATACTAGTAAAGGAAATAAGTATCTGCCCATGTACCTGCCTTAGTCTTCTATTCTATGATATTTATTATAGGGAAAAAGAAGGCACCTGACGGGTGTTTTTCTTATAAAAAATCTTACAGGCTTTTTTACATTCAATGTAGAATTTAATATCGATAGTTCCTATAAGTATTCGTTTACGAACGATCAGCATTTTTTTAAAACAAAAAACTTCCACCCCGGCGCTATGTAATTCTGAGAATTATTTCTGACAGCAGCATGGAATTTGTAATCTTTTTCCATAATTCTGAGAAGAATTTCCCACAACCCTCAGATTTTTATAGTCGATTGCTTGAACTTTTAGCAGTTAATTATTATTATTAATTATTGTGAAGTGGGAGAGAAGTTCCCTAAAGAGTTTAGGCACCCAAAACTACTGCCATTTGTTCTCTTTGTATTGCCAGTATTTCCCATCTATCTCTAATCGAAATTGATTCGGGTTTGATAAGAAAATTGGCTCTTAATTTCGAAGAGATATCGACAGCTAAGAAAGAGATAAAAGCCCTGCTGATTGGCATACGAAAGAGAGTGACGAAATTTCGCCATGACTATTGTACGTTGAAGTACCTCCTCTGGAAGATATTGTAGCTCTATTTAAGCTCTAGAGTTGGATGAATATTTAATATTAATATATTAATTAGTATATTAATTAATTAATATTAATATTAACTGAATGACAGCGAAATATTTGTTTTTTTTTAGTGATAATTCAAATGACTTAGCGCTAACTGAAGGTTTACTTGTTCTACCCAATATAGAGGACTATTTGGATAGGGTTTCTTCTTTCTTACCAATAGAAAATAAAAGCAAAAATGGCAATACCATCCCAATAGTCCAGTAGTCCCTCAATTACCCATAAAAGTTATTTCCCTTCCGCCACACTTTTTTCCGCTTATTGAAACGCATCGGATATTGTTCTTAATGCCGCCGCAAAATGCTCTTAACTGGAAGATGGCTTTGCCGGGGAGTTTTGTCCATGCAATTACCTTTTTTTTTCCGCTGGATATGGATCCCCCCCACATGTAGCCAGCACATCCCATGTAGCAGCATCTGCCCTGCTGCAGCAGCTCCATCCAATGTTGCGTTGCGTCCATAATTGCCGACTGCCAACTGGCCCTCAAAGTGGCATTAAGGCCACATGGCCGGGCCATGGCTGCCTCCCCTGGCGCGTTTTCCTGTTTCTGTTTTGCCCTCCTCTCTCTCTCCCTTTTTGTTGCTGTTTAAAAATGTTTTTACGCAAAAGTGCGGTTGATGTCCGGTTTTGATCCGGGGGGGGACTTTGTATGCCGTGAAATGTGCTTTTAATTGGCTTAGTCCTGCGCCCTCTGTGTGCAGCCCGTAACCGGACTCTGGCCAGTGGTCCATAAGGCAGGGCCGGGCCAGTGCTTGGGCTTCGCTTCGTATTTTTAGCATCCTTTCATGCCATGGGAGCCAGCGAGCCAACGAGCCAGACCCCTGGCGACCTTGTGCTGCTGTCAACACCTCAGTTGCCACATTACGCACCTCTAGAGTGGGCGCCACCAACGTGGCAAGCCTCTCCTCACCTCTAGAGTGGGCCCTGCACCCTCCACAGGTGCTCCAATGAAGCCTTACTCCACGTGTGTCCTAGCCAAAGCCCACCTGAAAGTCGTGGGGGAAAAGCCCTGCCTCTTGCTCGCTCTCTCTCTCTGCCTTCGCTTTGGGTTTCAAGGGCAGCGTCGTAAGCTTATCGCGGCCCGTAGATCCCAATCGATTCAGTTCGTAGGAATAGCCGCGTGTAATCGAAGTCTAATCCAGATATACCATTCATAAATCTATTCGCTGATCGCTAATCATGCCGCGCCTCGCCTCGCCTTTGCGACTATAAAAGAGGCAGCTGCGGCACTGGGCAGACATTATTACTCGCAGCGAACAGAATGAAGGTGATTGCTCTGACTCTACTGGTGGCTTTGGTGGCCAGCGCCCAGGCGGGCAAATTGAGCGACAAGTTCGCCCATTTGATACCCTGGCTTTGCCACCGGCTTCGTGATCAATGGCACCGAGGCGGAGCCGCACTCTGCCCCGTATATCGTGTCGCTGGGCACCAAATTCGAGAAGCATTCGCACATCTGTGGCGGCACCATCATCAACAAGGTATGGATCCTCACTGCCGCCCACTGCATCTCCAATCCCGTGGGCATGAGCGCCATCGGCGGCCTGCACACCCGCTCCGAAGTCGATGAGCTCACCCAGCACCGCCAGATTGACTTTGGCCGCGTCCACGAGTCGTACACGGGCGGCGTGGGACCCTTCGACATTGCCATCCTGCACGTGAGCGAGCCCTTCGAGTTCAACGAGTGGGTGCAGCCCGCCGTGCTGCCCACCCGCGAGGAGGTCCATGAGGGAGAGTCGCACCTGTACGGCTGGGGACAGCCCAAGTCGTATGTCCTGACCGCCGCCAAGACCCTGCAGACCGTCACCACCGAGCTGGTGAACTACGCACAGTGCGTCGAGGAGCTGCCCGAGAACGCGCCCCTGGCCCCATCGAACATCTGCTCCTCGTCCCTGCAGCAGAGCGTGTCCGCCTGCAACGGCGACTCGGGCGGCCCCCTCGTCGTGGAGCACGAGAACGGCCCCTCCGAGCTGGTCGGCATCGTCTCCTGGGGCTACATTCCCTGCGGACTGGCCCAGCTGCCATCGGTCTACACCCGCGTCTCTGCCTACGTCGACTGGATCCAGGCCAAGCAGGCCGCCTACAACGCTCTCTTCTAGGGGATAATCCTTGCATCTTCCAATGGATTCCGCTTCTGGAATCTATCAACAAGATGACTATACAATCCATTGACGTGATCCATTGTGAAATAAATGCATTCGTCTAAAGTCTAGGGTCTTGTCATGTGTTTCGAGAGATTTATGGCCATGATTGGGCAGGTCCCAGCTAATCCACAAAGTCCGCGCATAGTCTGTGGATTTATGGCACTACTAAAACAGGCAATCGAGACTGGCAGGCTACGGCTTATTTGTGGAGGCGTGTGCCATTGATAGGCGTCGAGTTTTCGCTTGCAGAGCCAATCAGAGAGTCATAGTTCCAGTCTATAGTTCCAGTCTATTGCTTATCGAAGAGATTAGGCATCGACGCGCCGAAAAGCTCAGCTACCTGAACAAGTTTTGATTTGTACACAAAATCAGCAGAAATATTGTACCTGTTTTATGAGAAAGTACCTAGATATACCCAGTAAACCTAGTGGTGCAAGTGTACTACGAATAGAGGAACAGACTGAGGGCAGCGAGATACATAAAGAGGGTTCAGCTACCTATCTGGACACATTTTTGGTCATGCTGCCCATACAAATTAACCAATTTGTGTGGTTTTTTTTTGGGGATATGTATATTGATGCTTTATATGGGTTCACATAAAATAAGAGCAGGTCTTATAAATAAAAAATAAGACATATTAATAACCAAAATTTATATTTTAGATAAACTACCTCTTGAAATTATTCAATTAATTATATACTCATTAATCTTAGCAACTACTATTAATTTTTAAAAATATAATTCACCCATTAGCTATAGGTTTAACTTTATTAATCCAACCAATTTTTATTTGTTGAATTTTAGGACATATCCTGAAAATTGTGGTTGCCATACGAATTTATGTGATTTAAATGAATGCAAAAATTCTGTTTTAAATCTCAAATAAATTTATTCATTGTGAATATATTATCAGAATAATACGCATAAAATCTGTGATAACTCTTATAGTCTTTGCGAGCCATTGATTGGTATTAAATGTAAATATTCACTGTAATTTGGAATACCTATATACTTTTTTTTTTTATCGAAAATTTACATTGAAATAAATGTTCTGCTAAGCTAAATGTTTGTAGAAGTTTATATTTATCTATACAACATTTTCTTAAGCATTTAAACTATTTTTTCATGCATAAACTTTAACCCTTTGGAGCCAGCAAAGTGCCGAATCATTTTGAAGTGCAAATTCCTGACTTGTACTCGCTGGAACTTGTTGCGAAGGTCTTTAATTTCCATTTGCTGAACTAAGCAGAAATCTACTCGAATAGTTTTCTCGCACATTTCGCCGATGGCGTCCCAAGTTCATTAACGTCGAAACGTATCTTATCTGTGCCTGAATAGATTCCAAATAAAACAATCTTTAAGAGTATAACTCTTTGATTTATTGTGTTTAGGGCTCAAGATAGTTGGCTTCAATTGCAAGTGACAACTTGAGAGATACTCCAAGGTGAAGTGGAGATGCCATAGATGTAGAAACCTCTTGGAGTGTGCGGCGTGGATGGTGCCACACTTTTATGGGGGGCCAGCAGTGTGCCCCCCCAAAGGATCGTAAATCTGCGAGTATCTGCAGCCTACGATAGGGAACAAATAGATTAGATCCGCCGTATAAAAATCAATGCCAGACCCATGGCTGGAACAAACCCAAACCAGCAGCCGAGCCATGAGACAATTTGTGGTGCTCCTCGCGCTGGCAGTGGCCGCCGTTTCGGCGCACACAATCGCCGCCCAGCCCAGCCCAGGATTCCCGGAGGGACGCATCATCAACGGCTACGAGGCACAGCCCGGGGAGGCTCCCTACATCGTTTCCCTGCAGACCACGGCCGGAACTTTCTTCTGCGCCGCTTCGATCATTCGTGCCGATGTCCTGCTAACCGCCGCCCACTGCCTCACGAAGGACGCGCTGCAGGCGGTGGCCGCCGGCCACAGTCGCAGCCACCCCGAGGACACCCAAGTGCGAGAGGTCAGCAGCAGCCGCCAGCTGAGCCACGAGGGCTACACGGGCAAGGCGGGACCCTGTGACATCGCCTTACTCTTCCTGGACACTCCCTTCGACCTGAATGCCATCTCCCGTGACGGCAGCGCGCCCGTGGCCAGCATTGCGCTGCCGCCCAAGAAGCTGGAGGGCTCCGCCCGCGGCACCCTCTACGGCTGGGGCAAGGACGGCTCCAAGGGCCTGCCCAACACGCTCCAGAAGCTCGATGTGGACATCCTCGACTATGAGAGCTGCATCGCGGCCATGCCCGCAGACAGCAATGTGGTGGACAGCAATGTGTGCACCCACAAGGCCGGCACCCCCGACGGCGCCTGCAATGGCGACAGTGGCGGCCCACTGATCAGCCGCGCCTCCGACGGCTCTGCCTACCAGGTGGGCGTCGTCTCCTGGGGCTACATTCCCTGCTCGCTCACAAAGTACCCGTCGGTATACACCTCGGTGTATTCGTTTGCCAGTTGGATCAATGCACATATCAACGATTACTCCAACTAGGCCAGAGGCTGCCTAAAGGGAGCACTTTTGCTTATGGAAAATATTTAACACAATAAATGAACAGTCATCGACATTCATAGCCCATCAGCTGTCTCTTACTCTCTCTCTTTGGCTCTCTTTAAGGCTAGCTCTCTTCCAGTGAGACTCTACCTCGATTCCTGCCGGGTATAACATTTTATTACTAGAACCTTTGTGTTTATTATCTACTAAATAATGTTTAAAGTTCGTTTAATTAATAGCCGTAAATATGATATTCAGATCAACTTATTTAGGGTGGAAATCCATCGAGTAAACTGGCAATATATTCATTAGTTCTGCCACAGATTCCACTCCAACGTAGCAGCCATCATACTTTTTTCTTTCCTGCACCCGGAACCCTGAACATAAAAATTAAACTAATTTTTGTACTCACATCGTCCCAGCGAATGAACTTTTCGCCATCCTGCAGCGCCTTTGGCACCTCCACGCTGGCGGTGGAGATGTACGTACCCCCGGCGCTCATCATCCTGCAACCGAATCAGAATCCGAATTCGAATGCGAATCCTCTGCCTGCTAATTTGTGCTGCTGTTTTTTTTTTCTTCTTTTTTTTGTTTGGTGCGTTTTAGTTTTGCTGTGTGTGTTGCTGTGTTTTCCCTCGGTTTTCCCTCGGGTTTCCCTCTATTTTCCGTCTATTTTCCGTTGGTTCGTGGGTTGTTTTGGGCGCACGGCTTTTGCGGCTTGTGACTTCCGCTTAGCCGCTGCTCTGCATTTCCGTTGCTCTTGTTGCTGTTGCTGTTCCTGTGGATGCTCCTGGCCTGCATACAAATGAAGCCATGGTCCTAGTCCTGGTCCTGGTCCGTGTCCTCGCCGTGCTGCACCTCAATTAGTGCCGCGTTGTATCTGTGCCACGCGCCTGACTTCCCTTTGACTGCATTTCTGCGGTCCTTGATTAAAATTCCCGAGTCGTGTTGCTCCTGCAAAAATGAAGGGGAACGAAAAAAATAAGAGAGATGGTTTAGTTTGGTTGAATGGAAAAGTTGGTTGCATTCTAAGCCATCGATTGAATGGGGGCGGGGAGGGGGAAAGACATCCAATGGAAATGCATTTGGTTGCTGTCCCTGTTGGGTTCACTGCGCTCTCTCCCTCGCTCTCTCTCTCTCTCTCTGGCTCTCTCTTCGTTGTACCTTTGCAAATGAGGCAGAGCTACAGATACTCCCGAGTTGATTAGCGTTGCCCCGCACACCGCACCGTGGCTCCCTCCAGAAAGTATCTGCCGCCATTGTCCGCCGTTGACCGATTACGAACCTTTCCGAAAGGTCAGGCTTCCCATTCATTCGCCCAGCCATTCATTCATTCATTCAAACATTCATTCATTGAGGTCCAGTCGTAGTCTTTCTCTTCATTCAGGAATCCATCCCCATACCCCCCCACCCCGCTCGATGCTTTTGTTTGCCTATTTTTGGGCGGTCCATTGTGTTTTGCTTTGGTTGCCCCTTGTAGTTTTTGTTGTGTCTCAGGAAAGACCCCAAACCCCCAACCCCAAACCCCATCTCTTTTCTCTTCTCTTCTGCTCCATCGCTAATTTGACGCTCGTGTATTTTTTTCAATTTTCAATTAGCTGCCAGCGAACTTTCGACCCGAAGCCAAAGACCAAAAAGCCTTTAAATAGACACGACATCCGGTGCACGGAGAACAATGCCACCACAGTACGAGTACGGGTACGAGTACAGCAGCAAAAAACCTTCCTCTAAAATTAGGAATAAAGCCACAAAACTGTGAGCTGAAACAGTGAGGAAAAGGCTGAATGAGGCAGCAAAGATCTCGAGTAAATATATATTTTAAAATATTTCCCTCTTGGGTTAATTTATATGTAAAGATATGAACTATCAATCTCCAAATTATCACAGCATTTGAATAATTTTTAGAGGGGATATACAGAAAAGAAAGGAAATATCTTTTAACTAACTTTTTCAGAGCGTTTTTTTTGATAGTTTTTGTAGTAAATTATTATTCAGATAATAAATTTTATTTTTTTAAGTACTTTTTTATACTAATATTTTGAAAATATTTTTAAATTTAAATATTTATGTATATTTTTTATTTAAGTATTTTTTAATTTATTTCAGAAAGTCCTTTAATGAATTATTATTTAAGAAATATTTTTTGAATTGGATTATTTTTGGGGCTGAATTCTTGTTGTTTAAAGACTAGAAAAATTATGCAACATTTCTGCGTAAAGGATATAACTTTAACTGTTAAACAGATACAAAAATGTTGCAAATATTTCAACAAAAACACCCAGAAGCTACAGTTGAAAGGATTCGTTCGTATCATCCATAAAAACGATCGCCCTAAAGTGCTTTCGATCTGCTTCGATCTTATGGATCTCAAAATTCCACTTAAATTTCATACCCAATACATTTAAAAATTCATATTTTATGATTTGAAACTTCTGCCTGCAAAACCACATTCCAAATGCATTTGTTTTCCCTCAGTGAACCACCTTTGGGGCACTCACTCGCTCAAGTGGCTTTCGGGCGATCCACAGAGAACTGCCTGCCGCTGCTGTCTGTGTCCGTGTCTGTGGCACTCCGAGTGGTTCTTGCAGCCAGTTGTAATCCACTTAGGGCAACTAAGATGACAGCTTTAGCCACTCAAACGAAACTATGAGATATGCATATAAATATGTACACACTCGTATGTAGATACACAGATACACAGATACACGGATACACGGAGCGCAGGAGAGCGACCCAAACACACACGTGACAGCACCACTAATTCTTTGATAATTTCTTTTTGGCCATGTCATAACCAATTCGTTGAAACTGCTGAAGGCAAAAACCAAAAACACAGAGGCAGGCAGGCGGGCAGGCGGGCAGGTAGGCAGGCAGCCACACAATGCAAAAACGTAAGCAAAACTTTTAGTCAGCCAAAGCCAAGGGGCATGCCACAGAACAACAGCCACTCTTCCACTCCCCCACCCACCCACACACACACATGTACAAATGAATACAGAAAGTTTTTGCCGCCCGAAAGGAAGTCATTTGTTTGTGCTGTTGCTTTTTGTAAACAGAATTGAATTTTGGGAGAATTTATTTAGCCATTTTCCATGGCATTTTCTATTTTCCATTTGCTATTTTCTCTTCTATATTTTTCCATTGTGTGCAACCCTTTAAGAGGGTCATGCAGTTTTTAGAAGTTCTCTTGTGGAGCACTAAAAGTAGCATCTGCCGCATAAAATTGCAATTAATTGCAGATATCTGCATGTATATGCCATTAAAAATCGAATTTATTAATATTGGTATACCGTATCAAGTCTAACAACGAGTCCTTGGAGGAAAAACCGAATTACTTTCAAACATATTTAAGACAGAAATCAAATGAATATAATTTCATATAATTAATTCCATTAAATTTCATGCAAAAATCGTTTGAAAAATCTACCCATAAAATAGTTAATTTTTCAAGGGTATGAACGACTTCGACCTGAAATGCTAATTGAAATGCTACCTTGTCTCTCTCTGTTTTCTGAGCTTTACCATTTTCCATTTTCCATTTTGCACATTGCCAAATTGAGTTTGTACATCATAAATATCCCGCAGCCAAAAGGGGAAGTAATTAAGCATTTTCATTCTGTCTGTCTTCTGTCTGTTTGTCTGTTTGTCTGTCTGTCTGTCTGTTTGTTTGTTGGTTGGTCTGTGGTAAACGGATTTCGATTCAATATCGAAAATTGTTATCGCATTATGGAGCTCCCTCCCCCAACCACCCCCTCACTGCCACCCGACGGAAAAACGCTTCGATTTTCCTCATTTCCATTGGCTGTTTTTCTCCGTCTTTTCTGCCGCTTTTGCGTTTCCTTTTGCCTTTTTTATTTTGCAAATCGTTTTAAGTGTTTTATGGCAAAACAGGGAAAAAATTTATTGCAGGCAATTTGCAGATGTAAACCCCACAGGGGGATGTGGCATGGGGAAGCTTTAGGCGGGTCCTGGAGTTACGCAACGCAAATCACAGCAAACACAGATTTTCAAGTGACTTTTCCCTTGGTCCTGGGGAGTCTCTCTCGCACTGTCGCCCATGAATCATGCATGCGACAGAAGCAGCACAAAAACAAAAGCAAAAAAAAAAAAAATGCTATGCCTCTGCCCTTCATTTTTCAGTGCGGTAGGATCTGGAATGGGGCATAAATCAAAGCGCCCGTCAAAATATGTTTTCCCTGCCAGCGCACCCAAAGGTTAACCCTTGATATACGACCATCCATAGAGGAGCAGCAGCAGCAGCAGCAGCAGCAGCAGCCACAACAGCAGCAGCAGTCAGCGATGGCAATGGATGGCGAGATGTTTATCCGGCAGATTGAAGGTTCATCAGAGACAAACGGTTATCAAAAGGTTACAACGCAGCATCTGCATGTCCATTGAAATATTTGAGCTGATTATTCTTCTTATAAATATAATTAAATATAATTAATTAAGCTCCATTACTATTTTTATTTTTCCAACCATTCGCTGGCTAAAAAATCGAATCAAAGAGCACTTAAATAATTTTATTTGTATCTTTTAAGTGCCATATAATTCTGACAGATATTTTATGAGTTACCACAATTTCCGCATTTTGGTTTACATTTTTTATTTGTGAAGAATCTTATGGAAAGCCCTGCCATTTATCCACAGAAAATTCATCTTTGGATCACAGTTTAGCTCAGTTTGAATCAAGGATATTCGGTTGATATTCGGTATGAAATTTTCTGCTATTCAGTTATTATTTATTATTAACATTTATTAGTATTTCAGCTATTAGAAATATGTAACAAGTCAATCACAAAAAACACCCCACACACATTCTCTGGCATTGCCCCAAATGCTGCCAAGACCCTCCTGGGGTCTACCTGCATCTCTAAGTGTCCATTTAGCTTCTGGGGCCAACAACTTGCGCTACAAAATCAATTGTGGCATTCCCCAGGATGCCCCAGGAATGACAAAGTCTGCTTGGGGAGGTGCGATTCTGTGCTGTGCTGTGCTGCTCTGCTAGAACTTTCTTCTTCGGTGGTAAGTGCGGAAGTGGCTTGTCAAACGGCAATCTTGCCACACTCACACACACACACATAGAGACAAGCTCACTCTTAGATACACACACACACACACACACACATACACAAACATGATAATCAAATCAAGGCGCCAGCTATTTGGTTAATGTGCATGACAGCATCGCTCGCTCGCTCGCTCGCTGGCTGCCTCGCAGCCTCGCAGCCTCACAGCCTGACTGTCTGACTGCCTGCTGTCCTGCCACTGCCACTGCCACAAAGGACGTGGCGGCGGCGGCGGTGGGGGAAAGTTAAAATGTTTAAAAGTGAAGCAGGTGAGACCCCAAAGATAAGGCGGTGTCAGGTGGCAGGCAGCTGGCAGACAGACAGACAGACAGACAGCCAAAGAGGCGGCAAATATCTCTCTCTCTCTCTGTGTAGCATGCTTTTAGGAGGCGACAGATTTTTCTTTTTGCTGCTACCTGCAAGGCGGGTAGTGAGTGGAGTGGTGTGGCGGGGAATGAAGTGAAGTGGACTCCACGCGCTTAAATTGCAGTGACAGAGAGCCTGTGGCGGCAGCCCAGCCTTATATGTATGTGAGTGACTGTACTACAGAGCACAGTGACTATAATTTCATTTGTGGTACATAAAACTTTGTCAGGCTTCATCTCTCTCGCTCTGAGTACTGAGCAGTAGAAGGCAGGGCAAACGGGAGGCAGGATGGAGAATGGAATCACATTAAACTAATTGCTTTAGCTTGTCATTTTTGTTGCTGTTGTTGTTGTTGCTGTTGTTGTTGTATTCCCATTGTTGTAAATGTTTCATGTTATATTTTGTTGCTAAAATTGCCATTGTTGTAATTGTTTGTTGTAGCTGGCTGCTCGCTGCTGGCTGCTGCTGCTGCCGTTGAGTGTTTGATTGTTAGTGCTTTTAGGCAGTGTCACAACCAGC